AAATGATTGAGGATATATTATGGATGTTGGGTTATGGTCAAGAGAAAGGAGAAGATGTTAAAGAAAATATCAAATTATTTATTGAAAGTAAACAGTTTAATGTTCAGAATACAGTGAGAGATGTTAATATTATTTTTAAAATGACGTATGAAAGAAGTAAGACAAACCAATTAGATTATTATCCTGAACTGAAATTATAATCATAATATAATAATAACATGTAAAATCTTATATGTTATAATTATACTGAACTTTTAACCTATAAATGAGAATTAGTGAGAAAACACTAACAAAACAAATGCACCACCAACACCCCAGAACTTGATAACTACTAAAAGGGTTAACTCTTTCAAATGAAAAAAATGTCGGCCCCCAGCCCAACAATGAACAAGGCGACAATTTACCCAAATGATTACCTTAACGAAAACGATAAATAAGCTCCCTAAAAACCCTCTTTTAAAAACGAATAAGGTGGTTAATAGGTTTGAGATGAATATAAAAAACACAACAGGGGACCATCAACAGACCACCCCCCAGCCCCCTACTTTTACAATTTTTTGGGGGAGGGGCGCTTCCACGTGGGGGCTGAACCACATGCCGATGCCAAACTCATGCAATCCACATGCAAAACCGTGCAAAAAACAAGCTGTTCCACATGTCATGTCAAAATCCTGTCATGCAAAAAACCGCACCATGCAAAATCCATGCAAAAACCATGTCAAAAAGCATGCAAAATCGTGCGAAACGTACCCGGATCGGCGGGCTGGCGTGGCTTTGATGCCGGGCAGGTGGCGCGCCAGGGAGGCTTCTATGCCGGGCAGGTGGCACGGCGGCTTTGATGCCGGGCAGGTGGCGCGGCCGGGTGAGGCTTCTATGCCAGGCAGGTGGCGCGCCAGGGAGGCTTCTTTGCCGGGCAGGTGGCGCGGCCGGGCGGAGGCTTCATTGTTGAGTCGGCCCGATGTTGGACCTCTTCCAACAGCATGGCATCTCCATCCAACATGATTGTGGCGTGCCTTTTTTTTTTTTTTTTTTCGAGGGGGTTTCCCAAATGGATTCTATTCCACCTGGTAGGCTCCTGACACTCGTCCGTCCAGGAAACGACCTCGTCCTGCGCAGGATTCGAAACCTAAAACGCTGCGTGCAGGCGTGTGGCTGCAACATAACGACCCCGAGATATGCGCCGCAATTTGGCTCCAGGTTGCATTTCAAGCGAGCCAACCTTTGCAGGGCTAATAAAAAAACAAAAAAAAGAAAAAGGGGTCCCCAAAAAAGGGGTCCCGAAAAAAAGGGAAAAGGGGTTTCCTTTGGCAAAGGTTGACCTCGCTTGAAATGCAACCTGGAGCCAAATTGCGGCGCATATCTCGGGGTCGGTATGTTGCAGCCACACGCCTGCACGCAGCGTTTTAGGTTTCGAATCCTGCGCAGGACGAGGTCGTTTCCTGGACGGACGAGTGTCAGGAGCCTACCAGGTGGAATAGAATCAGCACCATCCACAACCGACTGGAGCTTCTGCAATGCCGAAAAGTCGCCTCACGCACGTGCTAAGCACCTGGACCCTGTGACCCTACACAAGCTGGGAAACAAATCTGTTGAAGTTGGGCGGCCGGGCCAGTCGGTCTGCTTGACTTCTGGTACCGCATGTTGCAACTAGATCATCTAATCTAATCTAAGTTGATGAAATGTGCAAATCCAGGCCAGGCCAGTGACAGCGACAGCGCTCGATCCCCCCAGCCTCCAAAGTACAACTGCAGCAACTTGTAAACGTCAAGTTTCTGCCCCGGCGGCACGTAATCGTACTCCAAAGTCAAAGCCATTTCCTGAAGGATTGGCACATACGAGGGTCTAACTGGAATCCCGAGCGAGCAGCCTACACAAGTGAAATGTAAAACAAAACAAAAGTTGCCTATGCTTTAGGGCAGCAAAGGGTCTGTGACGGCGGTGTGCAAGGCACTGAGTGTTTCATAGTATCCCTTGGACTGGTTGCACCATCAATCCCAGGTGATTGGTGGCAAGCCCATTCGCCGCCAGAGTGATGTGAGTGAAAAATCTTTGCCTAGCGCTGCAGCCGAATTCTGGGAGGCAGGCAATGACCCTTGGATGACTTACCGGACGACCGCACCTCCTGTGAAGCCTGCGGTTGCACGAGCCACATCTGGGCCAGTTGCGGATCGACCCCTAGATATGCGCCGCAATTTGGCTCCAGGTTGCATTTCAAGCGATGTCAACCTTTGCCAAAGGAAACCCCTTTTCCCTTTTTTGCGGGACCCCTTTTTTGGGGACCCCTTTTTTCTTTTTTTTCTTAGCCCTGCAAAGGTTGGCTCGCTTGAAATGCAACCTGGAGCCAAATTGCAAGCATATCTAGGGGTCGTTATGTTGCAGCCACACGCCTGCACGCAGCGTTTTAGGTTTCGAATCCTGCAGGACGAGGTCGTTTCCTGGACGGACGAGTGTCAGAAGCCTACCCCCTCTAAAAAGAGAGCCTCCATATTTCAAAATACGTTGGAAGCCTGTGGAAGTTGAACATTCTGAGCAGGGTTTGCTGCAGACCAAGCCTCCGTAGGATTGCGCACGAAGAGCATTATAAACGAAATCTCCAAGACACTTGGCTTGTAGTAGCTATGGCTTGACCTCAAGGTGAGCTGCTTAAGGATTGTATTGGAAACCCTTGACAAACTCGGCGCTACTAAGGGGAACCAGTGTGAGGTGTAAGCATCAAGTGGTTCAAACAACCATTCTAAAGCTTCTACATTATGCAGCGTGTGCTGAAGAGCGTGATTAGAAGGCCCTGTGCAGAGCACGCTGGGTGAGGTGCGAGTAGTCGAGCGTGACCATCTTGGTGCCGTCACTCCACCTTGTTTCCCCCGTCAAATTCTTCCACTTCGTGCCCGCGAAGTTCGAAGCAAAGCCCAGCCTTAGGTTTCCGGCGATCACCAGATGTTTCAAGACCACTGAGAGAGCGTGTTGTTTTGGCGCGCGCATAGCGCAGTGTGTGTGACGCGTGAGGCTTCGGTCAAGGCGGCCACGGCAACCAGAGCGCGCGGGTCTTCCTGAAGAGGGACGGCCGGGCGCACCAGTGGGAGCTCATTATGATCAACGACGAGGCGCTGCTGAACCTGCACCGCGGAGGCCCCCCTTGCGTTGGCGACGTGCACGCGTTGGAACACGCGCCAACCGCCCCCCCTCCACCCCCCACCTCCAATGTTGCATGGAAACTTTTACACTTGTCTGAGACGCAACATTAAAATTTGGGGGAGCGGGGGGGGGGGCAAGACTTGTCAACCATCCTTGCCTGCCACAGCGCCTCAAGACGCATGGGCGCCAACTGTGCTCGGCGCGCTTCAGAAAGCTCATCTCCGCCCGCATTGTCAGTTCTCGTCCTTGTTTTTTCGCACTCATGCACCTGCCCCAGGCGCTGCAGTGTGTGGACAATACGGATCTGCCGCGTCGTACCATTTGGGCTGTAATCTGCGGGTGTTACTCTGACAGCCAGCAGGTGTTGGGCTGTCTCGGATTCGATGCGCAGCCCCCGCAAAGTTGGAAGCGCATGCATGACTGGTCACATGCCAGAGCTTGGCAGGAAATGTGCCATGTGGGCTGGCCGGGTGACATTTCTACGTCACTCCCGGCCCACTCACGAACGCTTCTCTCGATGCTCCGGATGGTGTTGAGGCTGACGCCGTGTCGTACTTCCTCGGACAACTGCTCTCTGCTGCGGGTTCAACGCATGGTGGCCCCGGTGTAATTACAGGGCGGAGTTCGTCTGCCTTTCACTCCGGCACTCCTGGTTGTCTCTCATTGGTGCATTCTTCTTGGAGTACGGTTGGATGTTCTTTGTTCTTTTGCGGGCCCTCCGGGTGCAGACGCTTTGTGGCTGGGGAGCTGCTTCGCGTCTTGTCAGTGGACAGGTGGGCATATTTGCAGTAGAGGGTTGTTAGCTTGCCATGTTCTTCTCTAACTACGTGAGGTGGCTTCTCGGCGCGCTTTTCGCCGACGTTCACGGTTACCGCGGCTGCGGTGTTGGTGACTCCTTTCGCTGGCGATGTGTGTGCGTGAGTGCTCTCTCTGACCCGTTCCATTCTTCGCCCTTCTTATCCTTTTCCCTTAGGTTTGTTTTGACTGTTATGTGCTTGGCTGCGGGCACGGGTTTGTGCTCAGGCGTGTTGAAAAGTGACTTGGAATTTTTGCAGTGCTGCTGTTGCAGGCAGCAGGCTGTTGCGAAGTGTTGCGCAGATCACTGTGGGAGAGTGCTAGGATTTGTGACTAGGAATTTGGGTAAGGTACTGTGGCAATGAGTGAGAGTGAGAGTTGCACAGGGTGCCTGTACAGTGCACTGTTGTAGGACGCTGTGGGCTGTTGGGTGTTGCCAGGGTGTTGGGCCGCAAATCCTTGGCCTTAACAAGGTGGGCGGGGCTCATTTGTATTTACCATTCAAGAAGGAAACATAGGGAACCGCGGTGCCTCAAATAAATGAGTGTTCAGTCTTTTTTTCCCCGACTATATTAGCATTTGTGGTTGTCAAGAGCTTGACTGTTTTTGACTTGAACATCTCGAACGCAATTCTGGCTACGGTTTGGGCTGGTCTAAGTGCAAAAAAATGAATTTGATGTTGTCGTTTTGCAGTTTTGCTAGTCATGGACTTGTGCCACAAACGTACTTTGAAGTGTGCATCAACAAACTGTGTTAGGATAACACACCGCCATTTTGCTGTTAGTTGCACATTGGCACACTTGAGTTTGGGATGCCGCACGTGTCAGCCCAAAACACAGGCAGTCTGATTTCAGGCAGACCAGTCTTTGACTACTCAGAGCATTGGCAATGTCCAGCACAGACGCAAGTCCGTGTTTGTGCGCCAACAATAACCGGCCTTTGAACACCATGGCTCGGCCTTTGCTCTTCTTTCTCCTGACGAGGCAGACTGAAGGAATGTTTCTGGAGTTTTATGGTTGAACCTTATTCAGTTGCAGCGCCTCGTCTTTTTTCACTAGCACCGCTTGCTGCAGGGTGTTGACCGCGTCGGGCAAGGACGCATTGACAGTTGGCTCACTGAGTGATGAGTTCCAAGTTTCAGAGGACTTGCTGAAAGGCATCAGTTATGGACCTTCCCCATTGAAGGAGCGTGTTGCATGCTGCTTCAATCTTTGTTCGATGTCAGCCAGTGCAGCTAGCGCAAGACGAGGCTGCCGGAAAGCTTCCCAACGATGACTTTATGTCCGACTCGGCCAAGGAGCATGCGCAAAGGGTTGAAGGAGAATTTGGGCATGAATGGGAATGTGGGCAATGAGGTCCCAATGCCTCAGTTTTGAATTCACAAGGGCTGGAATTCGAAGTTCCGGGAAATCGGAATCCGATAGGCTCAGTGGAGCACATCTGGACGTGGAGATCTGGCCATTATGAAGAAGCTGGGGGCCAACGCGGCCCGGGGCTCCAGGAAACACGCTGCGGCATATATAAACAAATCGGCGTACACACGTAAACATGAGAAACATGCACATACGTATACAGGTACATACATGTATATATATATATACATACACATGCACATCATGCATACGTGGGTACGTACGTACGTATGTACGTACATATCATATATACACACATGTGCACGTTCAGGTATTTTTGTATATATACTTTTTCACATAAACACACATGCACACCGATACATATACACATACATATACACCTACGCATATATACATCTATCCGTATATATATATATATATATGTGTATACTTGCAGACACACAGAAACCAAATCTAAATATACATGCATACATGCAGTACATAGGATGTATACATAGATATATTATATACATATACATATATATATAGTATGAACATGCACATGTAGACATACACACATCAACAGAAACACCGCACATACGCGTATACAGGTGCAGAAATACTATACGCATATAGATAAATAGTTTATGCATCTATGCATGTATACAAATACGTACGTATATGTATATAGAAATAGACACATGTACATTTGTATGTAGGCATGTACTTTCTGGATTATGCCGTCTCATTTTGAAGGTGCTGCTGCAAGCCCACATCTTGCGTTCATCTCCCTCAAAGGGCACCAACTTGTTTCAAAACAAGTTTGACTTTGAAGCGTGATTCTGAGGTTCCACGTTGGCCCTCAAATCCGGGACCAGTCCAGGTTATGTTTCAAGGTTTTTCAGCGCTCTAATGTTGATTCTTGAGTCCAAGCCGTGAGCGTGGAGAGTGCTCTCAAGCGCTTTGAAGAAGTTTGCGTTCGCACAGCTTGTGGGACTGATTGATAGTTTGTTGCGCGGCAGGTGCGACTGTATGGGAACGACCCTCAGGAGGACTGCTTCTTTGAGCATCAGGCATTCCATTGGATGATTGGCCGAAGTTTTGATGATCGATTTCAATCTGAAGTTTCCTGGCTCGGTGGCAGGCTAGACCATGTGTGATGGGGACTGGATTCATGGCATTGACGGCTGCATCAGGGTTGGCGAGCTATGCAAGAAGTTGGCAACGCAGCAAACAGAGTAAGTGCAGCACAGAAGGCTTAAGTTATCATAAAACGCTCCACCGGACTTGGCCACATGTGTGTCTTTGTTGTATCTAAGCAGGTGTTTGTTTCATTTGCTGCTTGCGCCCCTTGTATTTTGGCCTTGAGCGTCATGTGCGTTGCTAGACTCTGTTTTTTTGGGCTTTCGGCATTCGTTTGCTATTCAAAGCCTTGAGATTCAGTATCTACTGTAGGCCTACTGCTATTTCTTGGGATGCTGTGTTAACTGGCCATGTGTTTTTCAAATTGCCCCCAAAGTAACCGGAAGCTAACCCCAAGCTACAGAGAACGTGGAGAGAGGAGAGAGACGACCGTCAAGAAAATATTAATAATTCTTTAATCTCAGAACCATTCTGATTAATTGGTATTGTAAGAAACGGAGTTGCCAAGGAAAGCCTCTTCAAAACATCATGCCTTGGAGAAAGGGATTGAAGATAAAAGCAAAGAGAAAGAAAATGAAGATTTGTGACAAAGGAATCTCATTAACCCACCATATCTATCTTCTTGCTTAGGTAGGACCTCTCTTTTCTATTTAACATTCCAAGACTTATTGGCGGGTGTACAAGCAAAAAGAACAGAACATAGGATTATTACGACATCTATCTTGGAATGCATTCCATTTCTAAATCTCATTCTAAATCAAATGGTTTCCAAGCGAGTGGAAGAGAAAGAGAAAGACAAAGAGAGGCATATTATATGATTCCTTTCATCCTTATCTTGTAATCTTCATACCTTTATATTATTATATATTATTTGTCTTTATGGAACTATGACGGTTTTCTATAATCATCTTTTCCTCCTACATTTCCATGATTCTAATGTTACTTGCGAGCGAAAGAAGAGAGCGAAGGGAGAGACGAGCCTTATTCATACATCCGGCCCTTTCCATTATATCTCTCCCTCTAATTTTATTTAATGCTTCATGCTTCTCCAATATATTTCCTGATATTAAGGAAGACGTAAAGAGAAAGGAGATAGAGACACAGAAATGCTTCCAACCAACCAATCCAAGCTCTTCTCGCTAATCAAGGAATGTTGGTTGGTGAAGTAATTCCACATAGTAAATTAATAAGGAATAACAAATCACATGTAAATAGGAAAACAAGAGATAAAGAAAGAACAATGTAAGCAATAAATAATTTCTCTGGATTTTACCGTTCCACTCACCTAAGCTCTTCCACCTGCATTTCTCTGGATGATGAGAAATGCAGGATTCATTCTCTTTCTTTGTTCTTGCCTTTTTCCTCGCTACACGCCCAACATGACATGTGAGGAAAAAATAAGGCAAGAAGGAAAGAAATCTAACTTTCTCACATCCTCCTCACACAATTCTTGGTTATAGACCCTGAGGAAAGGGTGAAGAAAGTGACCCGAGCCTCTATTCTCTGAGACACAGGATGGACGGAAGTGTGTGATAAAGGCTTGGCCATTCCTTTTCTTTCCTCTGCCACCATTCTATTTCTATGTGATTCATCTTGGTGGCAGGTAGAGGATTGGAAAAGGAATGAGTCTTTTTTTCTCTCTTTCTCATGCCTTCCCCAACATTACAATGCAAATGAGTTGGAGGAAGGGACAGGAGATTGAGGGAAGAGATTCCTAATTGCCTCCGGGCTCTTCCTTACCTTCTCTTCGCTCGCTTCTTTTTCTGCCAACCTTGTCTCCACTATTTGACTGGGAATAAAGGGTTGGGGTACGAAGGTAGAAGCAAGGAAGAGATGGGTGAAGAGAGCAAAGGGATGTAGCGCCTCTTTCCATTCCTTTTCCTCTCCTTCCTGTTCCGTCAATCCTGACAGGCGAGGGCAGGAACAAAGGAAAGGAAGAAAGATGATGCGGGCTAATCCCCAATCTTTTATTGCCTGCCATGTCTTCATCTCTTTTTCCTTTCTACATCATCCATCTCTATCTCATTTGGTTTTATTGTGATGGATGATGCCCTATCTCCTTCCAACTCATCTCCATTTCTTACATCATAGAATTATTTGGTGTAGTTCATGGGAAAGAGACGGAAGGTCCATCATGTAGCATATCTTCTTAATATCATAATTCTCATGTTGAATTTTTAATGGAATCTCATTTGCAATCATAGTCTTGTGCCCTCATATGAATTCCTTTTATTTCAGCTGATCTCTTGGTTTATATGTACACCAGATATTGCTTGAGCATATTTCTAGTATTCTTTGTTTGCTTTTAATTCGATATGACATATATACTGGATGGTGTTTACTTTATCGTCATTCTAGTGGTGCATCAGTTGTCTTTCTTTTCATATTGCTACAAGCTGGAAGAGCATTAGCAGGAATCCAAATGCTTGGTTTTCGGGGCTAACCTTTTTGCTAGTTCGTGATCGGAACAGTGTTTGCGGGTGCTGTTTCACCGAATGGCCAAGTGAGATATGGGGAGTTACAGTATTTACACATATACTATCTCCCATTCCATCTTTTATATAATGGCTTTGTGGGGGCATTATGTTTATACTTCAACTTTGAAGCGGTTCGTTTTTTTCCATGCCCTACTTCCAATTCTTCTTTGTGGTTTTCTTCTCTATCACATTTCAAATCTGCATTTTCTGTCTTCTACTAATCCAAATGTCTTTTACTAATAGTAGAATAACATTTTTTCCTTTCATCACTAGCCCGTTCGGAAACACGAATCAATCATCGCCCTAGGATTAATATTTCTGACTTGCATGAACGTATCTTTACTTCAATCTCTCGTTTCCCACCTCCCAGCAGGTTTGAATCACAGTCTCATCAGTTGTTTTTGCTCGTTTTTCTGCTCTATGTTCGCTCATCGCTTCTTGCTGCTCTTTGATTGCTGCTGTCCTGCCCAGCTTTGTTCGTGCTTTGCTTCCTTCCCCTGTTCTCCCGTCGTTTTACCATTTATCTTCCTCCTCTATGCGCTTCTCTCCGCTTTCCATTTCGCTGTCCTTCCCTTCCCACCTTGTTCTTTCCTCTCTTCTCTGTTTTTTTCCTGCTCCCTTCTCCTTGTGTTTTGGTGCCTCAAGTGCTTTAGGCGTATTATCCACTTACCGAAATTTGCACAACCCTTGTGTCCACCAGCTCAGTGATTTTCGGGCTGTCAAGCACAGGACCACTCAGCTTTCCTGGATGAAGCCCAGAAGCAGGGCCTACAGGCCGCACGTCAGACGGAAACTCATTGGGCCTGAAAGCCTGGAAATTGCAGGTGATTCCCGGGATGAGTGATTATCCCTATACTCAGATGCCTGGAAATTGCCAGTCGACGGACACGCTGCATTGTTCAGTCTTTGCCGTTTTTTTGCAAGTGAGTGTCGACATCACTGCTGGAAGATGGCATGTAGCAGGATTACAACTGCTACTCTCAGATCAAGGAGCAGTACAAGAGCAATCTGCAAAAAGGCTTCCTCGACAAGGATGGTGCTTACCATCCTGCCTTAAAGCGCTCCTCTCAGGATTCTTTTGGACGGTCACCCCATTGTAAGACATTGTGCACAGAGGCGGCAAGCAATGTGCCCAGGACCGTTATTGTGATCAATGAGCCGGATCTCAAAATTCCCGGAGAATCCAAGCCAACCGAGTTCAGCAGGCAGAGCAATGAGGTTTGCAACAAAATGTCATTAGACTTGGCACACAGGGCAATCGTGAGTGCCATTGATGGCATGCTGGATGCCGAGAAGGACACACATGGCCGATTCGCTTCTTGGCCATTCATGAAGGCCCAGTCTGCATCAGGAAGCTGGTGCCAAGTCAAACCTTGTCAATTTCACCGCCACCTTCTCCTTTGGTGTGTGCACCGTGACCCGGCAGCACATGGAGTTAGGAATGGTGTGTAGAGTTCCGTGGCTGACATGCGAAGTTCCGAAGGCCTGCAAGGGCTCGAAGAACAAGCCCTCCCTGGGCCAGGCCGTGTGCTTTTTCTTCGCATCTCTCCAGCTCTTGTCATGCTTGGTAGCTTGATTGATAGATGTTCCAGTTTTTGACAAACTCTTGCTGTCATATGACTGGCGCAGATGCTGGAGCTGCAGCGTGCCATGGAGAATCCCGAGGATCGGAACCGGAACTGGTTTGGCAAGGGCAGACTTGCCATGCCTCGCCGGTTTTTGTTGCAAGGCCTATGGGTACAAAGCGAAGAACGATCTGGCAAAAGTGTACCAGACCAGGACAGCCAGGGTGCCGATGTTCTTGATTTGGTCGTAGCCTTGCAGGTTCACTAACAGCTTCAACACAAACAACCCTGCCACTGACATTCAGCCGCTGTTCCTCAATGACTACGAGGCGCAGTCCTCGGTCTTTGACCATTCGATGGACTCTTTGGCGACAAGCAAGGCCCATGAGGATATTATCGGTGTTGAGCCCTCAAGCGTAACTTTCCAGCTAGCAGATTGGCCAGCGCGCTGAATTCACGACTTGTCTCATGGTGGAGTTTTCCCGTGGAGAATGGGAGGGTTTTTTGGTTGGATTTTTTCCCGTTTTCGTTAGTAACATTTCCTGGTTTACCTTGCTTGGATTCTTTGCTTCTTGTTTGGCTTCTTGGAGTCTGGGCTTTTTGGCTTGCAGGCTTCTTGGCCTTTTAGTTTCTTGGCTTTTGGCTTTTTGGCTTTTTGGCTTTTAGGCTTTTTGGCTTTTGGCTTTTGGCTTTTTTTGCGTTTGGCTTCTTTTGTTTCTTGTTTAGATCCAGCCTGGCTTTTTGGCTGTTGTGGCCTTTGTGGCTTCGGCTTTCCGCATCCTCAGCATCACTCGCGCCTCTTCACGCAGGATGCAAGCTTGTGCGAGCTACATGTTTTCTGAATTGAAGGATCGTTCTTTTGCCTGGTGGCAAAAGGAAGCCTGTGTAATTCCAACATTTGGAGGGATTCTTGATTTTGCGATACACCCTGTGCCCTTTGTTTGCGAGAGCGAGGATCGTGCAATATCGTGCATGGAAAAGCGCAGCTGGTTTTTAGAAGAGCAAGACAGCAATGCAACCTTTGTTGCGTTTGTTCTGCTTTTGAGGGAAGATGTTTCTCTTTAGAATCAATCATCAAAATAGTGAGGTCGTCGGTTTCTGCAGTGGTGACTACGCAAGCCAGTTAGATGGGGTTGTATTCAGTGGGATTCTTTTCCTCGAGGAACCTTGCTGACAACTCGAGGGCTTATCAATTATATAGGGGTCAACAGTGCATGTTTCCGACCTACCCGCTTTTGAGTGATTTTGGGGCATGGGCCCGAAATATGTTTTCCCGCGTCTCTGGGGCATGCCAGCCAGTGAGCTAGTCGTAAGCGTGCGTGTATGTGCGTGCGCGTGTGTTTGGTGTGTGTGTGTGTGTGGCTCCCAGGTTTCTGTAGATGGGGGGTCTGCCCCCCCCCCCCCCCGGCATCTTTATAGGGCCGTTGTTTGGCTTTGTGATGACTTCAAAAAGCAAACCAAAAACGCTGAATGAAATCCAAATGAATCCAAGGCCCACCCTAAACCCACGTTTTGGCCCCAAAACCACCCTAAACCAACCGTAAACCACCACTAATATCCTCTAAACTGCCACGAAAACTAGACACAGCCTTAAAATCAAACCTAAGCCAACCCTAGAAAAACCCTTAAAAAACCTTAGACCAGCATGCCCTAAAGAACCCCCTAAACAAACCCACTCCAAACCAGCAATAGACTAGCCCTAAACCAACTCTAATCCTACCACCCCAAGCCAATCCTGAAACCTACCCTAACCCCACCCGAAACCAACCCGAAGCCCGCACTAAACAAGCACAACACCATCTCTGATAAGCCCACCTTAAACCACCGCCCCTAAGCAAACCCTATACCAATCCTAACCCCGCACTGAACCCACATCCACCCTAACGCAACCCTTAACAAACCCGAAGCAACAAACCCGACACCAGCACCCCCTACCCCCGCAAACAAGCCAAACCAACACTAAACCATCCCGAAGCTACCCTGAACCCACCCTAAACCACCACAACCACAGCCTAAACCAACTCCCCACCCTAAACCGACCCCAAGAAGCCCACCATAAACCAGCACTAAACCACCCCAGTACCTAAAGCGCAGCAACTCCCAATCTTGCCCTAAACAAGCCTGGAACCCACCCTGAACCAACCCCAGGCCAACCATGAACCCACTGAAACCTAACAAAGCCAGCTCGTGATGCTGAGGATGCTGCCGAGTTAACACGATGCCGACAGCGCTGGTGCAAAAGCGAGTCAAAGCCACAGCAGAATCAAGGGAGATTGCACCTGCCAGTTCCAAGACAGAAATTCCCGGAAACGATCCCAAAACAAAACGGGACAAGTTCCCAAAAAACACCCGGAGGGGGGTATTCCACTGTGGCTGTACCCTGAAAGGTATACATACTCTCACGGGGGTGCATGGCGGCAGTCCCTGAATATTATCGGACACCATGACTAAGGGGGCGATGCCTGTCGAATCCTTGGGCACAAACTATCAGTTTTCCCGCGTACTATATTTTCAAGCATCGTGATACTACCCATCTACAACTGTTTGCTGCTTTCTTTCGGGCTGGTCGATGAAAAGAAGGTGCCTGTCTGAGTCGTCCGACCTGTAGTTGGTTTGCCTTCGGTTTCCAGTGCCAGGCTAACTTCAAGAGCACGCCCGTCTTCATTGGTGAGTACCACTCCACAATGGTGAGCATTGGAAAGGACCCTTGTCAGCTGAACACCAGTGCGTGTCTTACTTTAGGGGACCCTCAAACTCAAAACAGCGGTTTTCCTTTTGGTTTCGAAAAGGGGCACCCTCAAAAAAGATATCGCAATCTGTGCTGGCAGGACTTGACAACTATTCTGGAGGTAGCCGACAAATCATCCAGCCTGGCCAAGCACTGAAAACGAGAGCATATCCAGTGCATGAGTATTCTTTTTGCGCATCCCTTGGTGCCTTGCATGGCCAAGGTGGGGATCAGCTTCTTCGAGTATCAGGTCCGTTATGACAAGGGCGGCTCAGAGATGAGCTTCGGCATGTTGGGGCCGCAGACCTCTGAGCTACAGGCTTTTGTCAAATCGGGCCGCGTGTGCCGTGTGAGGTTTGGCCTGGGGGCGCAGAAGATCGCCAGCATGAACTTCTTCGGCGTGCCGTTTCCTGTGTGGTGCTTGCCCGAGTCGATTGACGCGCATGGCGTTTGCCACTGAACGGCTTCAGGTGCCTGACCGAAGTTGCGGACAAAAAGTCCTCTGGTACAACGGTCGTCGACGAGTTGGCCAAGGCATTTGGAGGCACGGAACTCCGAAATGTCTGTTCAGGCAGGTCTGTTCTCTCTATCTGTGACAGGAGCTGGAATCGATGCAAACGAGCTTTGCGTGATTGACCCGCAGAAGGTGGGAACCGGGATGGTTTCAGCGTGTTGGCTGTCGGTTTTTGGCAGGTTCCCTTGTCCGAGGACGGCTACCAGGACCGCAAGCGGAGAATTCCTGTTTTTGATGGAAAGTTCGTGTGGGTGTTCCTTTGAAATCAGCCAGAAGACGTTCGCAATGTTTTCCACCCTTGTCAATGTACTACCCGCAATGCGCGGCTTGCTTCCTTGGCAGGCGGTGCTGTCCCTGAAGAATGTGGATAAAATGGCTTGGGGCCAAGCGAATGGTAACACCAGCCAGTTGCTGTTCACTTGGATTCTTAATGGAGTTGCGGAAACCTTCAATGCGCAGATCGCCACCCATTTCACAACTAAGGCTGCTTTCGTGTCTCGAGTGGTGGATCACATGGGAGGAGAAGCTCAGATAAGGTGAGGCTGAGCAAGTCCTTGGTGCGACAGGATCCGTGTCGGACAAGAAGAGTCTGGAGGATTTCGCAGCCAAGTGAGATGCGATGCATTGTACATTCCAAGATTTTGCTTAGCAACTTCTGGAGAACATGTGCAGAGAACACAGCCGCACGATTTTCCTTTGCAAGGTACACGGGCAAGACGCAGCTGAGGAGTGAGGCCCGAGCAGCCATTTCTTTGGTTGAGTTTCACCATTTTCATTGATTCCAAGGTGGAGCGCATGTTGGCCGGCCTCAGCTTTGCCCAAATGGCATCCGAGCTTGGTCAGCGCCTTGAGCTGTTTGCTTTGGCTTGACTGTGCTTGTTGGCAGGCCAGCACCCATTCTGGGTGGTTTGGGATGCCGTTTGCTTAAGTAGACCCTGCGCCTTGCGCCTTTCACGGCCAAACTGTTTGGTTATGGAAATGCGTGCTATGCGACTGCGGCAAGGCCATGGCCGCCTGCGTGGCTGATCGAGACTCTGATGAGGGGAGTGTGGGACAGGCTCGAACCCAAGTCGACGGTTTGGCTCAGATCACTCCTTGCCTGTCAATTGTCATGCCAATGACAAGACGTCGTTTGCTAAATATTGTCATGCCACTTGTGCTCGATAGGCAGTGGGCTATGCGTGCGGAAAGCTGAAGTCGTTCAACTGCTCGAATCTGCCAACGTTCTGTGCCAAGGCTCCGTCCGCCGCATGAAGCGTTGACACATGGGCAAAAGCGCAGGACATCTGGGCAAAAGCGGATTATGCTCGCTGCCTACAGGGCCTCGCACCTTTTGCTTGGCGTGCAACAGAATACCCAGGTGCTGAGCCTGTTCTATATGCAGGCTTCACGGATAGCCGGTTGCATGGATGTGATGGCCTGGCTTTGCAGGTGAACAGTACTCAGCCGCTTCGGGATTGCAACTTTGATGGAGCAGCCTGGGCCGTGGGGGGTCATGTATGAAAGGTCTGGACTGTCCGGACCTCTGTTGGTTCGCATCGCACTGCAAGGCCATGTTTGCTCCTGCTGCGACTTATAGAAGCCACGTGCGCTGCTCAGTCAGCTGATTGAGGTTGGAGGGAATATTCTCCCGCAGTCCCAGCGCCATACTGGGGCATATGTACAGGGTCCACCCGGAGTGTGTGAGGTGCATGAGGCACAGATCGTGTTCCATTCAAGGGTCACAGGAGAATATAACATTTTATTGCCCACGGAGTGGGCCATCACATGGTGGTAGAGCTCTTGCATTCACCAAAACATGGTGCTGAGATTGGCTGAATAGTGCAGATGCAATCACATTGAGGGTCACGACTTGTTCAAATCAAACATTCTGTTCAGTGAATTGAGGGTCACGGCTCAAAACCCTGTTTGTATTCCCAACAACCCAGATCAGTGACTCATGCGCTCAATGGTCCCAGAAGCTACGGAGCCCCGCATTCCAACAACATGGCTTAGCCAGACGCCATGAGCTTTCTTCGGAGTCTCTACACGGTGCTGGAGCTGGAATCCTCTGAGGAAGAAGCACCTTGCAAGCGAGCGAGAATCGAGTCACAGCCTTCTGCCCCCTCAGCGCCGGCTGCTTCGGCTGCTTCGGCTGCTTCGGCTGCTTCGGCTGCTTCGGCTGCGGCGCCTTCTGCGCCTTTGGCTTCAGCTCCAACTCCGGTCGCGCCTTTGACTTCACAGCAATGTCCCACCTCATCCCCCTTGTACCTCAACAGGCTGCAGGACTCTGCAGAGGAGCAAAGCTGCTTGGCATTTTTGACGCGAGCACCAAGCAAAAAGCACGATAATTGAGAATGCTGTAGGCAAATATAAAGATGGGGAGACATGAACTGGCAATGCACGATCTTTCAGAGCAGCGGGGTTGCCCTTGCACAAACTAGTTTGGTGAAACCGTTCTTGCCGATGGTGAGATCCTGCCACCTTGCGCCACGCACATGAGAACTTTTTTTAGCGGCTCTGACGGCGATATCTTGCAATGGCTTAGTTTACTCTTACTAAGCAGTCGTTTTGAGCGACACGGAGCTAACCGGATTCGCGCCAGAAAACAGGAAAACCGAGAAAACAGGAAAACCGAGAAAACCGAGAAAATCGGAAACCCGATAAAACCGAGAAACCCGAGAAAACCGAAAACCGCGAAAACTGCGAAAACTGCGAAAACCGGAAAAGCACGAAGCCCGCCAAAACCACGAAAACGCGACAACCAGGTGAAAACCACTAAAACGCAAAAACCGTGAAACGCCAACATGAAAGAAAGGTGAAAAGGCGCAAGCTTCAAGAACAAAGGCGAACGCCTTGAGAGCCAGCAACGGAGCTGTCTGGTTTTCTGGTTTTCTAGGTTTTCTCGGTTTTCTCGCGGTTTTCGCGTTTTCGCGGTTTTCGCGGTTTTGCGGTTGTCGTGGTTTTCGCGTTTTCTGGTTTTTGCGTTTTCGTGGTTTTCGTGGTTTTCGTGGTTTTCGTGGTTTTCGTGGTTTTCGCGTTTTCTGATGTTCGCGTTTTCGTGGTTTTCGCGGTTTTCGCGGTTTTCGCGGTTTTCACGGTTTTCGCGGTTTCGCGCTTTTCGCGCTTTCACAATGTTCGCAGGTGTTCGCTGCGAGTTTGTGTTGTTAGTATGCTTACTGGCCTTGTGTTTTGAGCCCCAGCGGTCATAGAAATAAGATAGGTAGGTAGATAGATAGATAGATAGATAGATATATAGATAAATTAGATGATATTTGATCAGATTAGATTAGATTAGATAGAGAGATAGATAGATAAATCGATGGATACATAGCATGGGAGAAGACAGGATAAGACAGGATAAGACAGGATAAGACAGGATAAGACAGGATAAGACAGGATAAGACAGGATAAGACAGGATAAGACAGGATAAGACAGGATACGATAGAAGATAAGACAGGACAATGTGCGATAAGATAAGATAAGGTAGGCAAGATAGATAAGATAGATAGTCTAGATATGATAGGTATGGTAGTCAAGGTAGATAAGGCATATAAGATAGATCATGTAGATAAGATGGAACACGATAGTGAGATAGATACGATGCGACAGATAGGACAAATAGGAAAGATAGGATAGATCTGATAAACATGATAGATAGGATAGATAGGTAGGTGTCTAGGTAGATAGATAGATAGAGAAATGGATATGCAGATAGATACATAGGATACGATAGATAGATAGATAGATACATAGGATAAGGTAGGATTCGCTAGGATAAGTCGGGAGAATATATGGTAAGATAGCATAAGACAGGATAAGACAGCATAAGGCAGGATATGGTAGGATGAAAAACGGCTAACATATGATTATATATATATATTGACGTGGATGAATAGATAGAGAGGTATATATATATATACATATATATATATACGTATATATATCTATACACAGGACAAGATACGCTACAACAGGATAATATAGGATAAGACACGGAAAGATTGGCCAACATGGGGTAAGGTAGGACAAGTTAGAACAAGACATGATAAGATAACATATTGTAGAATAATATACGCTAAGGAAGCTAAGACAGGATACTATAGAGGTAGGTAAGGTAGACAAGGTAGATAAGGTAATTTGGATAGACATGATAGATGAGGTAGACAAGGTAGATAAGACATACGATACATCAGATAGATAGATAGACAGATAGGATCAGATAAGGTGATAAGATATGATAAGATATGATAAGATAGGGTAAGATAGGATAAGATAGACCACGATGGGATAAGATAGGATAAACCAGGATAAGAAGTTAAGACAGGATAATACAGAATAATATATTATAAGAAAACAAGGTAGGTAATGTAGATAGGTAGGTACAATTGATGCGATGCATAAGGTAGATCAGATAGATAAGATATAATAAGATAGATGTGATAGGTAGGATGGGATAGATGGGAGGTAGGTGGGTGGGTAGGTGGGTAGGTTGGTAGATAAATCGATAGATACAGAGGAACAGATAGGATAAGGTAGGAACATATAGCAACATACAAGGTAAGGTAGGATAACATGAGATCGGCTAGGATAAGAGAGGATAGGACGGGATAAGACAGGATAAGATAGGATAGTAAGGCTAATACAGGATAAGATAGAATACGATAGGAGAAGGTAGGATACGATAGGAAAATAGGATTAGATGGGATAAGACAGGATGAGGGTAGGATAAGACAGGATAAGACAGAGAGATAGGTAGATATATAGACACAGATCGATCGATACATAGGATAGATAGGCCAAGACAGGATAAGACACAGTAAGATAGGCCAAAATGCGATAGATAGGAGCAGATAGGATAATACAGGACAAGCTAGGATACGATAGGAAATAACATAGGCTAAGATAGCACAAGACAAGATAATCTATGATAAGATAAGACAAGGTAGGTAAGATAGATAAGGTAAATAGTATAGATATGATATGCTAGACAAGGAGATAAGACGTATGATATTTATCAGATAGATCAGATGGACAATCTAGATAAGATACAATGAGTTAAATAGGGCAGGTATGAACGATTTTATAGATATGATATCTAGATAGGATAGATAGGATAGATACGGTCAATAGATAGATAGACAAGCTGATAGATGGATCGATAGATAGACAGATAGATAGATCGATAGATTGATAGATATATAGATACATAGATGGACATAAATAAATAAATAGATAGATAGATAGATAGATAGATAGATAAATAGAGAGATAGATAGAGATAGGTAGATATAGATAGAGATAGAGATAGAGATAGAGATAGAGATAGATAAATAGACAGATAGATAGATCAATAGATAGATAGATAGATAGATCGATAGTCGGATAGAGATAGATAGATAGATAGATAGACAGATACATAGATAGATAAATGGATAGACAGAATATGGGATGCGTTTGCCACCTTTTCAAAGGGTTACGTCGCGCGAAAGTTGGCATTTGCACGGTTTCACCGCTTTCGTGGGTTTCGCGTGTTCACAGTTTTCGCGGTTTTCGTGTGTTTTGCCGCTTTCGCAGTTTTCGCGTTTTTGCCGTTTTCCTGGTTTTCGCGGTTTTCGCGGTTTTCCTGATTTTTGTCGTTTTCGTGGTTTTCGCGGTTTTCGCGGTTTTCGCGGTTTTCGCGTTTTCGCGGTTTTCGCGTTTTCGGTTGCAAAATCCGCTTAGCGCACGTCACGAAAAAGAATCGCACAGTACTCTTAGGCCAGGGCTTCCCTAGGCACTTCGACTTTGGGAGTCCCCAGTCCCTTCATAAGCAGAGGACACAAAGGGAAGACATGGCCGGCAACCGTGTAAGGTGATGAGCTGACATTGCAGGATGTTTTTGAGAGACATCCGTTGGGCAATGAAGCTGCCGCTCATGTGGTGCTCGTTAACTTCATGATCGACTTGCCTTGGCTTTGTCATGAGTGTCCATCGTTGGCAAGCGCGCCACGTTTGACGGTTCTTTTTGGAGACGGCGGAGACGCAAGCAAAAAAGTTGCACAGGCTCGCGCACAGAAGGGCCTATCAACGCATTTGCATGAACCACCTCTGCCACTGCAATGGGGAACTCATCACAGCAAGATAGCCTTGCTGATATATCAGGACTGTTTGCGTGTGTGCATTCGTACTTTCAATGATGTGTTCCCAGACGTTCACCAGAAGTGCAACGCAATGTATCTCCAGGATTTTCCTATAAAAGATAGCATACAGACCGTGGATGAGTTTGGTTGTGATTTTCAGAGACAACTGTGCTTGTACTTTGCCAAGTGTGGTGGATTTGATGCTAAATGTCTGGATTTGTATGACTTTTCTGCGGCAGCAGCTGCAATTGTATCGTCAGTTCCTGGCTATCATACCAGGCAGGAGCTGAATGAATTTGGTCAGCTAAGATTCAGACAACTCCTAGCACGCCATTGCAGGGTTGCTGAGAGTACCAATGAAGGCATCATTTGCCAAGCAAGCTCATTTGGGAACTTGCCAAAGAAGTGGCTTGATGAGTTTCACACTACGTTGGCAACCAGATCCGACAAGAGGGCGAGCAAGCCTCCCTTGCATCTCGTGGCTCCAACTGTCTCGCAGGTGAGAGACAGCCTTGAGGGCTGGGTGTCTTCTGTGGCCTTATTCGTCAACAAAGCTGCGGTCGCCGCTTACCCCTCGCTCTGGCGCAGGTGGGGTCCAGAGGCTCCCAGAGGCCGCGCCAAGCTTCGAGCAGAAGCCATGCCCCACGTGAAGAGCTACTGCCGCTTCGCGGGAACTGAACTGCAGTGGCTGTACATTGGCTCACACAACCTGAGCAAATCGGCTTGGGGCGAGATACAGAAGGGCCACACGCAGCTTTGCATCCGCTCATATGAGATGGGCGTACTTTTCTTCCCGGAAAGACTGGCTTCCTTGGAGCCTGACTCCAAGCAAGGATACTTCCTTCAAAAACGCAGGGATTTCTCTGGCCATCCGAAAGCTGTCCTTGTCAGCTCAGATTCGGAGTGCGGGGGCCCATGCGGAGACCCGAGCATGCTAAGGGTCCGGATCCCGTTCCCCACGGCCGTACCGCCGGCAGCGGCTCCATCGCCAGCGGATCCTATTTGGTCCAGGGATTGGCCCACAGAGGTCTACCAGGGCCTGGACCGCTTCGGCACACGTTTCGGGGAAAGGGGAGCCGAGTTCTATGGCTACAGGGCGCTGATCCGCCCACAGCGTGATAAGCTGGTTGCAGGGTGGAAAACGCATTCTTGCACAGCATTCGTCAAAGGGCAGGCGGATTTCACTGAGCCCTGTGTGTCTCTGAAACCAAGGACACGACCTGCATTGTCACCAAGGACACAGCTGCCTGAGCCAGACATGTGTGGCAATCCAAGCGCGCAGGACGCATCCACAACTGCTTTGTCAGAGGAAGGATATCAGACCACACTGGCGGGCCATGATTCCAGCAAGGCCGCGGGTCTGAGCATGAAGGTTGTCGTAGACCAGGCTAATAGTCCTTCCCAATGCTCCGTTGTGAGCAGACCAGAATATGGTTCACATTTTGAGAGTGAACTTCGCATGTAGCTCCAGTGAGCCCTTGAGCCAAGCCCAGGTGGCCACCTTCATCCAGCGCGAAGTGCAGAATCTTAACATGGAGGTGGGCTGCGGGCTGCAAGGCCGAAGCCCGGAAGTTGTTGAACACTTGCCAGGTTACTGATGGATCAGGGCTTCAGTCCTTTGCCAAGTCACCTCCAGCAAACTTCGAGCAACTAAAGGACAGGTTGCGATTGAATAAGCTGATGAAACTTGTCTCAAGTTCAGCATGAATCAAGGACAAGCTCTCCAGTGTCCCATGGGTCTGCGGCGGTTCATCTGGAAAAAACTGTCCCAGTCTTAGTGCAGCCTCCTTGCCTGTTCCGATGGCCAACTCTGAGGTCCGGCCCAGAACGGCGGCCTCTCAGGTGTTGAGATAGGCAAGGCAGGCTCGCTTTGTTTCGCAGACAAGTTGAATATGAGTGTGGGAGAGCCGGGGAGAGCTGTGCACGGCCCGGCACGCCCGGGCTATGTGTGCCATGGTCAAAAGACCCCAGTACTTGGGGACTTGGGGTTGGTGGGGATGGTCATCAACCTCTGAACAGTAGACAATCAATGTGAACGAGCATTCATATGAGGGGAACCATGACCATGGCCTACACAATCTAAGTTGACCATGGCACACGAGTAGCATGATATTTGTGCGTAGCCAATGGCTTAAGGCGACAACGCAGAACAGCAGACAGGAACGACCAAACATATAAACACCACTGACAGTGGGTTGGGGCATAGATATACAATATACACGCGCATAGCGTTTGTCAGTATTGGTAGATGTCAATATGCTGACATGTACTACATGGGTATGTGAATGCAATGTACATTGTTGCATATGTATAAGTGCTTTCAGTAACTGCACACTCCCTTTTTGGTTTGAAAAGCAGCACTACAGCTTTAATTGCAGTTTTAGCGGTGTGTAGAAGAAGCGTGAAGACAAGAAGGGTGTGCAGATGATTGCAAATGCTCAAGCCAGCCCTGAAGAGTAGTTGCCCTAGTTGCCGCTTTGCGTCAAAGGTTTCCATATTCTTTTGATGTTGTAGTTCTGGAGGCCGGTGGCGCGACAGGTACGTCGTGAGAAAGGCAGGGGCCACGTGCAATTGAGCAGTAGGTTCCAAATGTGTATTGTTCTGAGTCATCCCACGTTTGCAAGAAAAGACAGGGTTGGCAGTCCTTCCAGAAAGGCTACGGCACGCATTGCCAAGATCGTAGGCAGTGGCAAGCCAGCCTGGTCAGCATGGTCCGCTGCAAAGGATTCGCAGGCTGCGCCACACACACACACACTCCACACACACCACAGGGCAAAGACGGAGGGTTACTGCCATAGGTGCCGGCCACTGGCTTCGATGCCTTGGCAGGGTCAAAAGCTCAGAAGTTCAGAAGCTCAGACCAGAGGGTCCCGCTGCCGGTTCGACAGTGGAGGTTGGAAAGCCCGTGTTGCAATCTCCGCCGGCGTTTGGAGTTACTTCCTGCCTGGCAGACACTTTGTTGCGCCTTAGAGAAGAGGGTAAAGGGTCTCTTAGGTGCACAGTAATTAGAGTTGTATACCCAGTTGTATTTGCATTTCTATCCATCGCTGATGAGAAGCATAGCTCGGGGGGCGCACAAAGAGGCAATGCAGAGAGCATTGTTCTGACGGCGACAGTGTCCCCCGACGATGCCAGCCATCCCTCGAACACCCTTGCTGCAATGTTTTTCCTTTCCTGAGGCAGGGTGCACACTGGAACGAGGCACGGCGGGCAGAAACTTGAGGCTTCAAGGGATCCATCTGTCAGGAGTTTCTGTGGCGTGAGAATCGTCAACTTAGACACGAGGCAGGGAGTTCTACCGCAAAGACACATATACACACATACCAAAGCCCGGCTTTTTGCAGGTTGAATCGTGGCAAGCTGAAGCCGCAGCTCGACAGCGGGAAACTGCTGAACTTCGCTTGGAGGCTATTTCTGCAGTGATGTGACTTTGCGTGCAAATGCATTTCATGGTCATGTAGGCTGCTCAACTTCAAGCAGAGCTCCATGTGAGTTCCTCAGGGATTGCACTACGGCGCTTTGCGAATCTTCGCCAAGTTCGCAGCACTTTGGTGTTCGGTCATGCTTTGGAAAGAGCTTCCGAGAGTCTCCAATTAGGCAGAGCGTTCCAGATCACATCAACTTGCTGCCAAGTTGGAGGCATGGAGAGCCTTTGTCTTGTCGGCCGGCCTTAGGAAGAACCCAGTGATTGTATGTCAGGGTGCTCCAGCTTCATCCTCGAGCTGTTTTCAGGCTTGTGACGCAGGCGGCTTATGCTGTGCAGGCTGAGGGGCTGCATTTTGAGCTGATCCAATGTGCATGGGATGCACTCTGAGGATGGAGGATATGCTCGTGGCCCTTGACTGAGAAACTATTTGAGCAACTGACAATACTACTATACTACTGGCAGTCTGTTGTTCATTTGGAGAGGACACGGAGGGCGAGCCAATATCCCTGTTTTCTCACCAAAATAAGGGTCAGTATTGTCCGTGGCTCAGGCTCCTTCGACACGGATTGGCTTCGAGCGAAGCGTCTGGCTTCTGCCGCCTGGACCGTTGTCGGCCATTCGCATGACGCTTGCGAAAGAAATCGCATCTAAAGCCGGGAAAAGCTCCGTTGGGCGGAGCACTCGTTTGGGACTGGTCGAACACTTTAGCAGTGAGTGTCTCCCGCGGAGACATGACATGCTGCCTTCCAGCAAACAAGGCAAATAGACCCTCAAACAAGTAGAGGCCTCGCGTGAGGATCATTAAGGCTGTTGATCAGAATGCTTAAAGCTAGACTGATGCCATTTAGCTAGGCCCATTTCTTTAAAGGTAGATGATGCAGCATGAATGGGTACTGGGCTTGCATATGCTTTGAGCTTCGCAGGATGGATCCCACTCTGCAGAAAGGCACCATTGTTGCAAGTTGAAGACTTCGGATTGCTACTGAAACACTCTGAAGATCATAAAGCTTTTGCCACAGGTGCTTCCCAATCTTCTGATTTGGCAACAATGCGGCAGCCCAAGCTGCATGAAGATGTAGAAGATGCATGACACATGCGTCGCTTTGGTCAAGGGCAACGCGGCATGCGGGAGAAGTAGCAGAGCTGCAACTGCGTCATTCCCTTGCCTTGCAGGCAGGCAATTTGCTTTTGAGTTGGTAGAGTGACATGTGGAGAATGCCTCGCAGGAGTTGCAAAGTCAGGCTGACGTGGCGTTGGGACGCTCCAGATTGGCGGAGGAGCATTTGTCACAATCGAAACTGGAAGCGCCGTTCCTGGCCAGGTTTCTGGGCCAAAAGTTGCGGTGGAATCGGAATGTTTTTCTCTATTCCGCTGCGTTGAAGCGCGTTGCAGCTAGTCTCAGGAGAGAGCTGCGCGGTTGGAGCGCAGCCAGGCAGGGAGCGTCCAGGCGCGATCGAAGGCTTTTGAGTGAGGTCTGACCTGTGCAGGCACGACTGCTTCGAGCGCTAGATCAGCATTTCAAGGTGGGCATATCTCTCAAAGGAGCCAAGCCATTGCAAGCTGGTCCGCTTTTCCAGGCACGCGCTGTAGCTCTGCCCTTTGCACTTTGGCGGGAGGCAGCTTGGCAGTGGCGCGGGTCCAGCGCGTTTGGCGTGTTCCCGAGGGCTTGCACCCCCGAAGGCCGCCTTGCGCAGCTTCAGTGCGCAGCAAAAGTCCGCGTTGCTGAGAGGCCATGTCGCTCGAATCTGTGTCCGAAGAGTCAGTGTCTGCCGGCTAGAGCGGAAAGAGAGCAAGAGAGTCTCTATGGTAAGTCTTTGCATGCCTTGACAGGTGCCAGCAGACAGGCAGCCCAGGCTGCTCGATCCTTATTCTGGCCGTCAGCTGTCTAAATGCTGTGCCATGCAGTGCCCCAAGCGCCCGAAGCGCACGAGGTGTTGAGTGTCATCACCAAAGCCGCCCGGCTGCTGCTGCAGTTTGCTGCACTCTCAGGGAATATGTGGACATACTTGCTGCTGTTTGAGCTCACCGCTTGCTCGCATCAGGCCTTTGATGTATGGAGAGTGTCCCTGGAAGTCGTGAGAACCGTCCAGGGGTTTGAGGTGGGGCACCCGTGCAATAGTGACCATTTGCGGCGTTTCTCGGGCATGCAGGTTGAACATCAGAGTGTGTTGGCACGACAAGCCCGCGCTGATGGTGCTCTGCTGCAGCTGGCCCTTCGCTGTGCCCGGAGGAGAGGCATTTTGAGTGCATTGATTGTCAGGGGCGGAACCTCAGGAGACTGCTGGGCCAATGTGTGCGTCTTTGGTGCTCGCTTCTGCGCGGGAGAATCGCCGAGCGGATCGCCCGATCCGGCAAGGCAGGGTGCCCGGGACTTGCAGTGGCAGCTATGGCCGTGTGCCTCTGGGAGGACGAGCAGTCCGCATGGCGACTGGAGCTCTTGCAGCACGTCTTCCGGGAGAAAGCCAAGGATAGCGCTGTCGCAAGACGGCGCTGCGTTGCTGCAATGCCTGGACTGTTCAAAGGGAACCTTCCCTCAGGTTAAACAAGCGGCACCCTGTAATAACTTCCCACTTAGAACTATGGATAAGGCCTGGCCGTCCGTCCATTTTGAAGCCCCGAAAGTTTGTGAATCCAGGACTCTCATGCCAACCTGGTCGTGTCTTGCTGGAAGGCAGGGTGCAAGGCAACGCGGCGACTTGCTGTCAAACCGGGCGCTCAGCCTGGGCTCAAGAGCAAGGCAGGAGCGGATCCATGTCCTTCACATTCCACTTATGGCATGGACAATGCCAAGAAGATTTCTGCAGCACCTGCTGCGGTTCCACCTCTTGCACCGCCAACATCTGCGGCCTTTCCTGCGTGCATGCCGCAAACCTCCCCGACAAAGCGTTCGGGTCAACTCATTAAAAGCGCCTGCCACTGTCCTTGACGATCTCTCATTGAATTGGAGGCTTGACCCAGTCAAATGGTGTGGCTCTGGCTGGTTCTTGTCTCTAGAGTCTTTGAGAAATCCAGCAATTGGCCGAACTCTTCCTCACTTTCTGGGACATGTTTATAGCCAAGAGGCTGCCTCCATGTTGCCAGTGGAAGTGATGAAGGCCTGCCTACCCACAGCAGCGACAGCATCGCGAGTCCTGGACCTTTGTGCAGCTCCAGGCAGCAAAGCAACTCAGCTCGCAGCCTTCACTTCTCTACTTGTTGCGAACGAGCCACAGCCGGAGCGAGCAAAGCGACTCCGGGCCAACTTGATCCGTTGCGGTGCGACGCGGTGCATCGTTACGGAGCTTCCCGGGGAAACAGTGGGTGGACTGGCACCTGTCACCTTTGATGGAGTACTTGTCGACGTGCCCTGCTCTGCTGAAGGGAATGTGGGCAAGGACCGCGCAGTACTGGAAAGATGGCGCCAGGGCAAGGAGGCTTCTCCCAGCTTGCTGGCAAGGCAAGCAGCCTTGCTGGAAAGCGCTTGGGCTGCTCTGAAGCCTGGGGGCTGCCTGGTGTATTCAACTTGCACTCTGAACCACTACGAGAACGAAGATCAGTGCAAGAGGCTTCTCTGCAAGAAGGATGCTCGCGTTGTGGACCTATCATTCATGGGGGGTGCCATTCACTTGGAGGGAAGCTCATCATCACCATATTTACGTGTGTGGCCTCAGGCCTTCAACACAGGTGGCTTCTTTGTTGCAGCATTCAGAAAACTCCCGGCAGCCCAGAGCTATGGACCCATTGACATGCCATGCCTGAGCCATGGATTTCGCTTGCTTGATTGGAGGGAGAAGCTTCAGGTCCGCCGCGCAATGCAGTCGAGTGTTGGATTTTGGCCTGAGACCGCTGTCTTTTTGGAACACGCCTCAAGCATTTGGATGATGCCAGTGGAGGCCAGGCATCCAAAATTACGAGCTCTTTTGGACACACTGACAGTCCCTGGGCTATGTTTGGCACACAAAGTGCAAACACCGGGTGAAGCAGCCACCTACATGCCCAGCGCTGAGCTACGCATGTTGGCTGGAGACCGGGCCAGGAGCAAAATGACTCTTTTGCAGTGGGCAAGCCTGGAGATCAGGGTGTGCGATACGGCTGAAACAAGGAATGCTCATTTGTCGTTGCTTGCTGCTGAAGGACATATACGTCAAGTGGAGGAGGGGCTAGCCAGCATGGCTGGTGCTCGTATCCAGCCAAATTCTGGAAGCTATTCTGCATTGGTATCAGCGTTAGTAAGCAGTGGCAGAGAACAGCAAGCAATCCAAGTTTCTTCTAGGCAGATCCTTCGTTCCTCAAGCATGAATAAGGTTCTTCATGGTTTTGCTCTCAGAGGTGATTGTGCAAGTATCAAAGAAATGATGAACGCTATGAGAGGCCGCAGTGTTCAGCCAGACGTGGTGAGTTATAATACCCTTCTGAAGGCCGTTGCAACTAGCAAGAGGAACATCTCATTCGCCAAAACAGATGCCTTGCTGGAGGAGATGACATCAAGCATGGTGCACCCGAATCATGTCACCTACACCTCCATGATGTCTTTGTTTGCCCGCGCAGGGGATCCGAATTCCGTGCAACGCTTGATTGACATGGCCTCCCAGAGGTCAGTCGACCTTGGTGTATTTGCCTTCAACACCATGATTCAGGCACACATGCAGGCTCACGACTGGACACGTGCCTGCGATGTTGTGCGCAGAATGCGACACCTTGGCTGGAAACCTGACATTGTCACTTATACAACTTTGTTGAAGGGACAAAGCGAGGAGCGTGCTTCTGGCATTTTGCAAGACATGCAGAAGGATAGCATCCAGCCAAACTCGGTGACCTACGCTTCACTGATTACGTCTTTTACTCGCGCACGCCACCTTGGTGCTGCCATGAATATGGCTCGTGAAGTCCGCAACAGCGACATGTCTGCGAAGTCTGCGCATGTGGCGTGCGCAATTCTACACCTTTGCGCCACAGCTGCTGAAGACGAGAGCTTTTGCTCGGAGGAATGCATTTCTTTTGCTCAGAAGGTTTTCCAGAGGCTGCAGAAACCCGATTTGGCCTGCCACCGGGCTCTGAAGTCGGTTCTCGCCGCAGGCATCGTGAAAAGGCAGGCTGCACTGACCACGGCAGCTTGAAAGGGTTGAAGGGACTATTGATGCGGTGCAAATGGACCATCGCCAGGTCTAATTGGTCAAACATTGAAACCGACTGAAGTAGCAAAGAGCAAAGTTAAGTTCACAAGACCAAGGAGGCTTTCACAACTCCTCCTCTGCATTCTTCTTTGCATTTCCTTGCATACCTGCGCATTTCCTTGGATTACCTGGTGTTCTCTTGAAATCCTTCCCATTTCCTTGCAATCCCTAGCAATCCCTAGCAATCCCTAGCAATCCCTAGCAAGCTCTTGCATTTCCTTTCCTTTCATTGCATTCCATTCCCTTGCATTGCCTTGTATTCATTTCTATTTCGCTTGAACTTCCTTGCAGCATATTCATGCTTTTGGCAATGGAGAATCGGATGGACCCGCAAGGCCTGGCACCAAGCAGCCTGCCTGGCTTCAAGGCCAATCGGCTGGAAGCCTGTGAGCATTTGAGATGTGGGCGTGTCCTTGTTTTTGAGGGAACCCTTTTTTTGTGGCTTGAAAGGGAAACCAAAACGAAAGCTAAGATTTTGGGGGTCCCCCAAAGACACACCCATGTCCATGAACACTACGAACAGCGTCTCCTCACACCGCGAGGGCGTACGGAGTGTTTCCCTGTGATCGTGACGACCTGGCAGGGAGCGGGCTTTTGACACTGCTCAGTCACACGTGCTTCATCTACAGGGGCTCCTTGCCTGAAGGGCAGAAAGGGCGGGCCTTGCGCAGAGTGCCTTTCGCTAGCTACGACATTTTAGAGAGCTTGTCAACGAACACTCCAGGCGCTTGAGCGACCTTCGGCTTCTTTCAGTTGGAGCATCAGTGCAGGCGTGGAGAGCATGTGAGCGCAACAAACTCATAGTCGGGAGGAATCACAGACGTATTCCAATTAATTGATCGATGAGTCCATGAAGCGCTGCAGGTGCAATCGCGGTTTCTGATCCGTGCCTGCTTTGCTTCCTGGCATCACTTCCGGTGCCTTCAGCAAGCCGTGGATAGCCGAGAGGAGCTGGGCGCACGATTCTGGAGGTGCGGCTTTGGCCTGCCAAGCTCGCCTTGAGGAGTTGCAGCATCTCCGGGTTACCATGTCAAAACTCTGCTACAGCCGGAATTTCACGATTCAACGTGGTGACCTCGGAGCATCTCAACGGCCTTGTGACGATCGAATTGGTCCAAGGCATGGCAAAGAGAGCAAACGAGGGCGCTGCCGGGATGTGTCTCATCCTGGTGCGCGCCACGTTTACGAGTATGGGGCAGGTGGTTTTTGTCCGAACTAGGTCCATTTAATTTCAACTCAAAAAGCAACCATGCAGAAGGGTTCCCAGTCCTGGCACTTAGCCAATTGAAGGCCCAGTGGTGAGCTGCCAGGCTTGGCGAATCTGGCGAAGATTGCGCTGGGGACCCGATGGCTAGCACGTGCATGCCAGACGTACATCTGGGCAAAGGCACCGAAGCAGCTGTGATACAGGAGCTGCATTTCCAATTCCACGCAATTGGGTGCCTCTTGGGCAGCTTGAATGCAGGACTGCGATGCAGTTCAGGTGCTTCTTCGACGGCTACAGGTGAGGGAGTTGGAGAGCAAAGGGCTATGCAACAAGTCCAAGGCACCCATTCAAAGGGATCTCAAGCTTCCGGCCCTTTTGTTTTTTTTCCAAGTCACATCTGGTTCAGTTCCTCGAAATAAGCTCACAATTTTGAATCTCAGAAGGGTTCCCTGACCCTTGTGGTAGCGGCAACGAGGAATGCATTTGTCCCATGTCAAAAAGATCCGAGCATGACCACCAGCAGAGTTGTGGCAGGTTTGCGAGGAAGGCGTAGCCCAAGACCAAACAATGCAGTAGACAGCGCCAGTGAGAGAATTTTCGGGAGCCACGAGGCATTTGCACGTTGGAAAGTGGGTGAGCCTCCCCGATGCAGTGCTTGAGCCCCATGTGACTAGGAGGAATGGACCAGGCAGCAAGACTTGCAGCAGCAGCAGGCAGAATGGACAGTTGCTAGGTCTTGCAGAAATGCAAACCTGCAAGGATGCGGCGGAGGAGCGAGACAGCAGCCGCTTGAAGCAGATTCTGGAGCCGCACGGTTGCAGGAAGCCTTGCCAGATCGACTTTGCATCCAGCTGTCCGCTTTAGGCTTCTCTGAGCTTGGATTTCAGGCTTGAAGCAAAGTTCCAGGCTGTCTGAAGCCTGGACAATGCACAGAAATGCTTCAGACTTGAGCCATCCGTTGCTTGAGGCTTGCTTGCCATCAGGCTCTCGGATCTGGGCAAAGTTCCACATACATGAGCATTGATGAGCATACAGGAGAATGACGCAGCCTTTGGCTCAATGCCAATGAATGTGGCAGGGATAGCTGGTCGGTTTTGCCGATGAATGTGGCTCAGATCCTGCGGGAATAGGAGATGGATTGGAATCTGGCTCTGTGCGAGCCTTGGTTCGTCTTGAAGAAGTCTCAGATTCGCCTTGCTTCAAGAGGGCCATTCCACCCTTCAGCATTCCACTGCAGGCTTTTTGGACGTGGCCAAGGTTGGGAGCTGAGAGCTTTGTGCATGATGGGCGCCAACGCCCAGGCCTCTTCGCTGGGGTGCGTGGTCCGGGTTGGCAACGCCAGTGACGATCTTCACGCCTTTGCCGCAGCAGCGCAGACCTGGGGCGCCGCTTTGCCGAAAAGGCTTGCGAAACTCACTGGACTCAAGGGAGATGGCGACGCCAAAGGCAGGTGGCTATCTGCCTTGAAAGACAAGCGTGTGAAGAGCTGAATTGTTCAGTCAACCTTTCACTTGGCTCGCCCAGCAAAGGTGAAATGCCGCTGGTTTGTTGGCCTAGCCCCAACTCCTGCAGTTGCAGACATGGGACGAAGGTGGGATCAGAGTGAAGTGCTGGTTGGTGAGATGTGAAAAGTTGACGGCCTTGCACATGTTTGAAATCCACACTCGGAGGCTTGTGAACGGCACCAAAGCCAGAGTCCTCACCCTTGAAGGTGCTTCGACACCCTTGGAGGCATCCTGTCATGAGTCCTGTTTACATATTTTCCAATGTCCACCTACATGTCTCGAAGGTATTGCTGCGATCATACCAGCTCAAGGGCGCGTTTCCTGGTGGCCCTCCTCGCCTGGCTTGCGCTCTGGCAGATGCGCTGCAGCCTTAGGTGACTGATGCACTTGCAGACTTGGCGTCCACGGCCTGGAGTTTTTTCCGTCGCAGGTTTATGTTTTTGGTCGTGGAGAACTTGATGAAGGCAATTGAGGAGGCATTGTCCGCAGGTTCAGCTGTTGTGACTGTAGTGAAGCTTGGTCGCTGCACTCCCTGCAATCCTTGCGCTCCTTGCACTTGCGTTCCCGCACTCGTGCTCCTTGCAGGCAGGTCTTCATGATGCTCATTTGTTTTCTTTGCTTTGCGGATCGCGGCTTCTTTGCCAAGCCCACGCCTCAGTCAGCCTTCGAAGCAATTGCGCTTCTCGAAGGCCAAGTGTTGCAAGTGACTTGCCGAGACTGCTGCAGCTGGCACGGCCCTCTCTGAGCTGCCTCTCTCGATTGCTTCACAGAGGCTACAGGCTTGGCATTGCTTGGCATGGCTTGGCATGGCTTGGCATGGCTTGGCATGGCTTGGCATGGCTTGGCATGGCTTGGCATCTGCTATGTGGCATGTCTGGCCAGATGTCATGTAGCGGCTTTGCATTTCGTCATTCCCTGCATTGCTTGGCCACATGCCAGGAAAGGGCAATGCGACTGGGGCCAGCATGTGGTCGTCGACCCGAAGAGGTGGGATGTCAGCTTTTTTGGTAGCTGAACCCGATTGAAACCTACTGAAAGGCACGTTTTTGTTCACTCGCGCGGCCCGCCTCCGCCAGTATTTTGAAGTCTTGTGTTTCTCTACATGGCTTCAAGGGCTAGAACGAGAGCCGCAGTCCAAGGGCAAAGGGGGGCTGGGGCAGCCGCACTCGAGGCCACGTAGTCTAGGGCAGTGGGGCCAAGCGAGTTGCAGGGCTGGGAGTGTGGGGCGGGTTGCAGTTGCCTGGGCAGGGGCTGGGGCCAGAGCTAGCAGAGCCTCCGGTTTGCGGGTGGCTGTTTTGAGGATGCAGGGTTATTTGAATTCAGAGAGCTTGCAACACAGTGCCTTCCAGCCCAGCACTCCTCGCCCCCACACCTAGAAAAGCTCTGATTTGTAGATTTGTGACGTTTCGTGCAGCGACATACTGAATCATGCAGTTCTGGAGAGTGACAATTAATTGAGATTTGGTGGATGATTTGAAGGTGGCGCCTCTTGTCTAGTCTAGTAGTTTGCTGGCTGCCTGGCGCAAGTGTGCGTTGCAGGCTTGCGCGGAAGCAATACGGTCCCAGAGAGCTGAGCTCAGTCGCATTGCGTTGGTCAGACCGGCAAATGGTGAGCTCTAGGGACGCTGTATCCCCCAGCAATTCATGCGAGTGGCGCAGCTGGACATCGGAGCGAGGGCCCCGGCAGCCGCGCAATGGAGAAACTTTCACCAGGTTTCAGGGCAACACGATGTCTGCACATATCTCCGTGTTTGCCCTGCAGGCTTGTTCTCCGCACTGTATTTGGCATGGCCAGCGACCTCCTGGGGATGCAGGATATCTGCAGGGCTGTGAAGCACAGTGTCCAACTTGAAATCCCAGGAGGGAATATCCAGTGGCAATTCCGGACGCAGTACGACCGTTTGGCCAACGCAAGCTGGCCGTCGCAGTGACCAAGCTAAACTAATGTTCAATCCCAACAGCTTGTGCGCACGCTTCAACGCTTTTTCATTTGTGGTGCGTGAGACTTCTTGAAGATTCCAAAGCCTAGGTGCTGATTGGTTCGCTGTTGCGCTCGCCGGCATCAACCATCTTGCTTCTTGGGCGCCTTTTCGTGGAGGAGGTCGGGGAATGCTGTGCCGTGAGTCGTTGTGCATCAGCGGCATTCTGCTGCAAAGGTGGATTACCAAGTGTTTGACATTCGGCTGCAAGATCAGCCGAAGGCATCATTTGCCGGTCACATTGGAGGAACTTACTTGCAATGACATTCAGCGCACGCAAAAGCTGAGATTATGGCAAGGGGCACTCACCAGAGAGAAGTTGCAAGGTGTACACCGCCCCTATTGCACAGTCGCGAGCTTGTGCCGACGCTCTCGCAGTACTGGTCGGTGAATGGGTCTCTGCCAAGCTCAAGGCGGGGGGCATCCTGTTGCTTCCTACAAAGCCTTGAAGCGCATCTGGAGCCAGGTGGCGTCTGTTCGAGACTCATTGGAAGAGCAGTACTTTCAATCTGTTGTCGGCACTCGACACATGCGGCAGTGGTACAAGCTCCGCGCGGCGTATGCCATGATGGAGGAGACAAATTGCCGCAAGATGCCTTGACACTTATGCATGTTTGAAACAGCAAGCAGTCAATTAGTGATGAGCGCATCTTGCCCACTCAGGAGCAGGAACGAATGCAAGGCTGGAAATACGACTTGGTGCCTGAAGCCCGCAGATGAGTAAGCCACCAATCTCCCTGAACCCAATGGAGAAAAGCCCCCGAGGTGCTCAAGATGCGGACGGACGTTGAATTCATTTCGCCGCTGAGTCTGGCTCACTTCCCTGAGGCTCTGCTCAGCTCAGCTTGCCTGCCATGTTTCCTGCACCGGAGGTGATGTCGGCCCGGGTGGTGTACAGCGCGGGTGACATCATTTTCTTCGCCAATCGTCAGGCCATGTCTGCCAGGCGACCCAGCCAGCGGCAAGGGTTCTGGGCAGGTGGCTCACACCTTGCTTGATGAAATTTTGGAGCAGCTGGTCAGCCGTTCTGGCAATGAGCGCAGGCCCACTCTATAGATTTGATGTGACAACGGAGCCCATGTCGTTGTGCTTCGAGAGAGGAGGTGGGATTTCGACAGCTAGGTTGCTGCCTCTGAACTACGAGCGGTTGTTGCGCACTGGCGAGGGAAATGCCTTGAATTTACAGGCTGGGCACTTAGGCACTTTTGACGCGCTCAATGGAGCCCGCAGCCTTTCAGGTCTTTCCAGACGTGCCCGGCATCCGAGATGCGGTGTATGGAAAGGCTTCACGGGGTCCGGGGCTTTTTTGTGCGTTCATGCTGCAAGTTGATGGATCTTGTGGAATGAGGTATGCTGATGTCAGCAATCCGGAAGCACTTTGGGGAGCTAGAAGCCGCCCAACACCGTGCTCTGCGGGGGGAGGCAGCCGCATGCTCAGCGCAGTGCATGCGTTTCATGATGTCCAGATGCGGAAGGACACTGGCTGCAACCTTTTTATGAGGTCCCGACGGTGTCTGGGCACTGGAGGCCGATTTGGCGGTAGTCTATGTTGAACTTCCCACAGTTGTCTCGAAATAGAAAACCGCAGAATGAGGCTTGGTTTCCCTACAAAGGAGCCCCAAAAAGGGCACCGCGAAAAAGTCACAACATGTCCAGTACCAGAAGCTTTTTGCGGCTTATGTCCAGGTTTCGCAACGACACAAAGGAGTTCAAGACTTGGCAGAGGATGAACCGCTTGCCGCGTGATAACGAGATGTGCTCTATGAGGCCTGGGGAGATTTTAGTGGTGCTCATAATGTCGGCAGCAGCGGATTGTTGGGATTCAAATTGGGTGAATTTCGGCGTTTCTTTTGTGAAACCACTTTCCAGCTCCAATGGGCGCACGTTCACACAAACCACACAAACACAAGCGCCTTTTTCGCGATTTCGTAAGCCCTGCAGTAACGTTCAATAGCAGAACCTTCAAAAGCAAAAGGCAGGGCTGCTCAAGCAGCCCGCAGCAGCTCAAGCGGCCTGCCGTTATAAAATGCAACATTTCCAATATACCCTGAGCTTCACGGAATCAAGGCGCCCAGAGCCTGGGTGGCCGAGCAGCCAAGTCGTGGGTTGGGTGGATTCCTGAAAGAGGCACATGATCAAAGAGTGTTCCGATGTGGCTTGGTACCAGTCTCTGGCACCGCTTTGGCTTGTACTTGAAGTTCAAGATCAGGGGGAGACACGGGATGCAGTTTGGACCGCCCCATTAGAGCCAACCCCAAGAAGCCCAGCTATGCATCGGCAATTACGCTAGGGCGAGTTCGTACTACAATTATCCGTTCTCGCACTTGAACTCGAAAAGTTTCGGTCATTTCTCTTTCACTTGATCTGGGTTTCACTCTCAACCAGATGTGAAGACAGATCATGTGAGGCATTGGTTTTACCACGTGCACACCGCTGAACCAGAAGTTCTGATGAGAGGGTGGACGGCTTCAAGCTTTACCCTGTCCAAGACAAGGCACCTAAGCGGCCACTGTCAGCCGTTTACGCCACTGTGTTGAGGCACTACACGAATTGCAACTGTGAGCCTCCAGAGTCTGACGCTGAGCTTCCCGAAGGGCCAAACATTCCTTTCGAGTCACTGAGCTTCCAGGTGCCTTCCAGTTGGCTGGCCGATGCCGTGGCCGGAATTCGGCAATGCTTCGCACGCACGCTGGGCGGGTAAAACAATGCGCGTGTGGCGATGAGACTTGCATTGACACTGGGTCCCCGGAGTGATGGAGAGAGCGAGGGAGAAAGAAGTTGGGGCTTGTGCAGGTCCAAAGCAAGCAGAGGAGAATGCGTCAGGCCTTGGAAGATGCATCGTGAATATGCTCAGGTCATGGAAGTGAACACCTATGCCCCTAGGTACGTTCCCTAGACATTTACCCTCATTCATCCCTTACCCCCTGATGTACCACTGTTGTATCCCAGACTTGTATCCTGGCACCTCCAGATTCAAGGGAATAAGTCGCTGGGGCACGTCCCCAGCGCACATCTTTCTTTGAGATCAGCGTGAAAGCCAGGCAGTCAAAGTTCACGGTCTGATGCCCATCGTTTTCCACGGATTTTGCCTGCCCCGCACATCCGGGGCTGGCTAGCATAGATAGATCTTAATACCATACCATGCTGGCCAAAAGCAGGCTTGCTCGAGTTCCCAATGCACCGCAGCCAAAGCAAGCTGCGCATGCAACCCATGGCCAATGCAATGGAAAAGGAACAATTCGACGCCCATCAAGCTAACCCCACTGGCCGCATGGGGCCTTTGGTTTAGAGGATTTCCAAAAGGAAAGAGCCCCTCCTCCCAATTGTGGACCCTCGTTTAGTCGGTATTTTACGGGAAACCAAAAGGAAACCAAAGGGAAACCACAAGAGAAGCAAAAGGACACCAAAGGGAGACCAACCATTCCAGGTGGTTTCAGCTCTCAGAAAGTTTGCCAGGACTCATCGTTTTCGCCGTTCTGCTCATCGCCGCCGTGTTGGCGGCACTCTATGTGAAGCGGAAGCGCACCATGGCGGGGCCTTGTCGAGTCGAAGTGTCAAAATCGGGGCCGCCGAGTTGTTTTAGGTGACGCCTTCAAACAGCCCTTGAAATTGGCTCGGCATATTTTTGCAGTTCCATTTATGAAGGTGCCCCCAAATGGGCCCCTGCCAACACATAGATATATATATATATTAATATATATATATAGGAATCTTCAATCTTGAATCTTGAATCCCATAATTTTTAAAACTTTTTTAAAGCATGCCAGCGTTGTCCAATACTCCAGGTTTCCAATAGATACTTTGCAACCAAGAATGCGCTACCGTCTGCAGTCACATGCATTTAATCTGCAACCCTCGAAGTTCCCGCAATGGCTGGATTCAAATTGCGAGGACCAGATTCTCGGAAAGCCTTCCGTGAACGGTTTTCCATCTTGAATTTTTTCAATCCAGTTGTAAAATACCCCTGAGGTTTTAGACAGGATTGACGATTCTCAGGAAAGTTTTCTGTGCAATCTTCAATCTTGAATCTTCAAGTGTTTAGAATAAGTTGAATGCTGTTTGGGCTTGGCCAGGATTGACGATTCTCAGGCAAGTGCTTCAACCTTGAATCTTCAATACAGCAATAACATACTTTCAAGTGCTTAGCGATCAAGTGAAACCGTTCAAGTTCTTAGACACACTTTCAAGTGCTTTTGACGAGCTTTTCGCTTCATGCAAGCTATGCTAATGTTGACCCTTCCCAGGATGTAAACAAAGATCTGTAGGTGTAATGTACTTTATGAAGCGGCGCAGGATCGTGAGGGGTACTTTATGTGTGTATGTATGTGTGTACATGAATAAACATATATATATATATATGTATGTATGCATGCTCACACACCACCACCCCACGAACTACATGTCCACATTTGCTCACCTACTACCTTCGCCTTTTGAGATAGAATGATTTTTATTTTGGTCCGAATAAGATTTTAGATACAACTGATTTAGCTAGAATCTCTGTTTCGAGAAACCTCTACTCCCTTGAAACTTCATTTTGGAACACCGTCTAACAAGTTTAATTTCGGACCTTTCTTCTGCTACAACAGGGCCATAATGCAAATAACACAAATCCTACTTCAAGTTTCCTTGTAGAAGTCCCTTAAATGTTGTCTAAACATTTAACATGAATTGTATTTTGGAAGTACGTCGTCTATGTAGTACTATCAAACACTAGTTGAATTATGTTCGTATTAGATTGAATTTAAAACTCAATTTATATCTGAGAATAACTTCCTATTTAAAATGTATTTTTAAACGATTACTGATATTTTACCCGAACTTACTTTTGCATCGTAGTTTAACTCCTATTTGGGAAGGATGTGTTTATTTAAATTCTAAATGAACATAAACCAAATTTGGAAAACTGTATCATTAATATATTATATGCACATTCCAAGTTTGTTTGAATTAAAATCCTATTTGGACAGGATATCATATTGGCACATTTCAGAGGACTCCAAGCTCCAAATTGTGAGGCTTTAATTTGCCCAAAATTGGACAGTTCGAGGATTAACATCTCTAGATTCTAGATTTATCACCCCCAAAAGGCACCAAAACCTCGGTCCATTGGGGGGGGGGGGTTGCGTTTATTTATATATATATATATATATATGTATGTATGTATATATATATATATGTATACACATGTATGTATAATATGTATGTCATATAGTTTTGGCATGAAGGACTTGACTGCCGGCGCCCGCCAGGCTCGAGAGATCGCTCAACCTCTGAATGAAGCCTGATGCGGCCTGCAGTGAATCAATCAAGAACTCGCACATCCAGCAGACTTGGTGCCATGGTCAAAAGGCCTGCTTCTGGGGGTTAGTAGGGCCATAGACGCCTGAATGGAACAATGATATGTGGCAGTGTTTGCGTTGGCTTCAATGCCACGACGCAGCTTGCTGAGTTCTGTTTTTTGTGACTGCTTCTTGGGCAGTCTCATTGCACCGTTGATCCTCAGTGGGTTGACAGCCGAAAGCTGAGACGATCCTGGCTGAGCATTTTGGGTATGTCGAAAACATTGGGACCCGCAAATGGGCAGCAGCCCTTTCGTGAGAGGTCCTGTATTTTTGGATACACCCATTTCAGATTGCTTGATGTGAGGCTTGCTTCAAAAGATGCTTCAGCCAACTGGGTTGGATGGACATGCTGAGCGGCTGCAGTCGCATTTTGCTTTTGGTCAAGGGTCGTGTATCGTGCCTTGGGGAGTGTCGCTTTGCTACGTTCTTGGTTCAGATTCTCGGACTTAGGCATTTAGAAAAGCGTCTGAGGTTCATGTCTTGCATGCTGGGATTTGTAAGCCAGTGGCCACAGATCCAAGCACCAAGCTCGTTGCGAATCTGCGAATCAAGCTCCACCAGACCGCCCAAAAACGTTGCTCACACGGAGCTGTGCCACCGGGCGCTGCTTTTCCCAAGTTTTGTGCTCAGCTTGGCTCGCCATGAAAGAGCTGGAGCTGCGGCATTCCGCGGCGCTGGCGAGAGTCACCGTCGGGACCGTGGAGAGGAATCAGTGTGTCCTTTGTTTTGCTTCCTCCGCCTTGGTAGCTTAAAAAGGAGAAGGGTGAGTTTCGTCATTTTTTTGGAGGCCCCATTTTGCGACGTACCCATTGCTAGATTCCCAGGGAGGCTGCGAGGCCACGAAGGCCTTGAGACCCAAGGTGCACGTGCCCTCGCCTGCCCAGAAGTTTGGCATTTTGGCCTGCTTCATTGCCGGGCTCCCGCTCCACATTGCACCGACATTTCTTTTGGTATTTCCGTGCACGGTATTCCCAGATCTCAGGCTCTCCACGGTGTAGCGCTTCAATTTTGCATTTCGACTTCGGGCGAGGCCCACCAGGCAGGCATCCCGTAAGCGCGAAGTGCCGATCGCGCTGAGCGGACGTCGTGCCAGGCAGCCGTCCTAAAAATCAGGAAGCTCAACAGAGAGCATTTCCTGAATGGCACAAAGGAGGAGGCACACTTCGCAAAGCAGATTGCCGATTCAACACACCAACATGTCAACAGGTTTGTTGGAACCCCCCCAACGGGATTACTTGGGAACTTGGGATGGTCCCAACCTTGAGATAGCTTCCAAGGTAAGGGGTTTGGACATACCTCACATGTCTCGCAGGACAAGCTTCCACAAGAGTTACCCTCTGAGTGGGCACGCGACTAAAAAGCTGCTGCAACGCTACACGCCGCCGCGTTTCAGCAGTCGATTTGACAATGATACGCGGGAAATCGGGACGTTTGGAGGAACCCCAGAAGGGCTTTGAAAGACGGGAATCTTGACTTCATGGCTTGGCGTGAGCACGTTTGCGTGCGCTTGCAAGGCACCCAACCCTTGGGCGAGCGCGTCCCTCTTCGCAACGTAACTTGGTGGGCAAAATGCTTTCCGAGTCAGGTAGGCAAGTTGCTGCTGCTTGCGTTTCTATGGCGCGGTCGCCGGTGTGTCAAGGATTACTCTTCACGTCTTCTTCCACTTGCTCTGCCATTGGAAGGTGATCCCGCCTCTTTGCGTTTCTGGGCAATGCCAATCAATGTTCGAATGGATCCAGGTAGGCTTTCGTGCCCGGGCGCTTTTCCAACCAGCTCGAACAGTGCGGGAGGGCTACTACGTACAGGTGGCTTCCAAGTGATTCTCCACTCAATTGGCCACTGCCGCTTCTTCAACTCAGGTCAGGCCTCTGCCGCTCCGGCCTCAGATTTGTGTTTTGGAGCGCCCCCTGCTCTTGCCATCCGAAAAGCAGGCTTAAAGGCAAACCCCAAAAACCACATACATTTGGTTTGGGATTCCCCTATTTTTGAGACAACCCCATGTAGAAAAGCAGGTAACTCGGCAACTCCCTATCCGCCTTGGCAGGCACCGGGGCCACCCAGCGCTTGTGCCGCTCAAGCTGGTTGCCTAGATTCTCCGGCTGCTCAGACTTGGACGAGTTTCTTTCTACGGTTGGTTTGAAGGGCAAGAAAGGGAAAGATCCCACTTTTTGGGTGCCTCAGAGAAACCCAAGTAGCACGTGTTCCCAGGTGTTGTGAGACGACTCTTCGGCTCACCTTCATTTTTCAGCGCCAGCATTATGAATACCTGGAACCAGGCGAGGTGCTTGTCCAGTTTGCAAAAGGGCCTTCCGTCCGTTGTGAGGTGAAGGCGGCACTGATGTGGATGAAGACGTGCTTGCCTCAAGTTTGCTGATCAAGTTCCGGGTGCTAAGCTGTGATGCGAGGTGGGCGAAGTTCGGCTCACCCCTTGTCCTGTCGACCAGCCTTTGAGAAAGTACTTCGAGGAGCACTGACCCTTCACTCTTCCCCACTTCCCCACTTCCCCACTTCCCCACTTCCCCACTTCCCCACTTCCCCACTTCCCCACTTCCCCACTTCCCCACTTCCCCACTTCCCCACTTCCCCACTTCCCCACTTCCCCACTTCCCCACTTCCCTACTTCCCCACTTCCCCACTTCCCCACTTCCCCACTTCCCCACTTCCCCACTTCCCCACTTTCTGACTTCCCCACTTCCCCCCTTCCCCACTTCCCCCCTTCCCCGCTTCCCCACTTCCCCACTTCCCCACTTCCCCACTTTCCCACTTCCCCACTTCCCCACTTCCCCACTTTCTGACTTCCCCACTTCCCCACTTCCCCCCTTCCCCCCTTCCCCGCTTCCCCACTTCCCCACTTCCCCACTTCCCCACTTCCCCACTTCCCCACTTCCCCACTTCCCCACTTCCCCACTTCCCCACTTCCCCACTTCCCCACTTTCTGACTTCCCCACTTCCCCCCTTCCCCCTTCCCCACTTCCCCACTTCCCCACTTCCCCACTTTCTGACTTCCCCACTTCCCCACTTCCCCACTTCCCCACTTCCCCACTTCCCCACTTCCCCACTTCCCCACTTCCCCACTTCCCCACTTCCCCACTTCCCCACTTCCCCCCCACTTCCCCACTCCCCACTTCCCCACTTCCCCACTTCCCCACTTCCCCACTTCCCCCCACCACTTCCCCACTTCCCCACTTCCCCACTTCCCCACTTCCCCACTTCCCCACTTCCCACTTCCCACTTCCACTTCCCCACCCCACTTCCCCCTTCCCCACTTCCCCACTTCCCACACTTCCCCACTTCCCCACTTCCCCACTTCCCCACTTCCCCACTTCCCCACTTCCCCACTTCCCCACTCCCCACTTCCCACTTCCCCACTTTCCCCACTTCCCCACTTCCCCACTTCCCCACTTCCCCACTTCCCCACTTCCCACTTCCCACTTCCCCCCCACTTCCCCACTTCCCCACTTCCCCACTTCCCCACTTCCCCACTTTCCCCACTTCCCCACTTCCCCACCCCCTTCCCCCTTTCTTCCCCGCTTCCCCGCTTCCCCACTTCCCCACTTCCCCACTTCCCCACTTCCCCACTTCCCCACTTCCCCACTTCCCCACTTCCCCACTTCCCCACTTCTCCACTTCCCCACTTCCCCACTTCCCCACTTGCCCACTTCCCCACTTCCCCACTTTCTGACTTTCCCACCCCACTTTCCCCCTTCCCCCCTTCCCCGCTTCCCCACTTCCCCACTTCCCCACTTCCCCACTTCCCCGCTTCCCGACTTCCCCACTTCCCCACTTCCCCACTTCCCCACTTCCCCACTTCCCCACTTCCCCACTTCCCCACCTCCCCACCTCCCCACTTCCCCACTTCCCCACCCCACACTTCCTTCCCCACTTCCCCACTTCCCCACTTCCCCACTTTCTTCCCACTTCCCCACTTCCCCACTTCCCCCCTTCCCCTTCCCCACTTCCCCACTCCCCACTTCCCCACCCACTTCCCCACTTCCCCACTTCCCACTTCCCCACTTCCCCACTTCCCCACTTCCCCACTTCCCCACTTCCCCACTTTCTGACTTCCCCAACCCCCCTTCCCCCCTTCCCCACTTCCCCACTTCCCCACTTCCCCACTTCCCCACTTCCCCACTTCCCCACTTCCCCACTTCCCCACTTCCCCACTTCCCCACTTCCCCACTTCCCCACTTCCCCACTTGCCCACTTCCCCACTTCCCCACTTCCCCACTTCCCCACTTCCCCACTTCCCCACTTCCCCTTCCCCACCTCCCTTCCCCACTTCCCCACTTCCCCACTTCCCCACTTTCTGATCCCCACTTCCCCACTTCCCCGCTTCCCCTCCCAATTTCCCCCCTTTCCGACTTCCCCCCTTCCCCGACTCCCCCCCTTTCCCGCTTTCCTCTTCTTCCCCCCTTCTTCCCCCCTTCTTCCCCCCTTCTTCCCCGCTTCTTCCCCGCTTCTTCCCCGCTTCTTCCCCGCTTCTTCCCCGCTTCTTCCCCGCTTCTTCCCCGCTTCTTCCCCGCTTCTTCCCCGCTTCTTCCCCGCTTCTTCCCCGCTTCTTCCCCGCTTCTTCCCCGCTTCTTCCCCGCTTCTTCCCCGCTTCTTCCCCGCTTCTTCCCCGCTTCTTCCCCGCTTCTTCCCCGCTTCTTCCCCGCTTCTTCCCCGCTTCTTCCCCGCTTCTTCCCCGCTTCTTCCCCGCTTCTTCCCCGCTTCTTCCCCGCTTCTTCCCCGCTTCTTCCCCGCTTCCCCCCCGCTTCTTCCCCGCTTCCCCCCCGCTTCCCCCCCCGCTTCCCTTCCTCCCCGCTTCCCCGCTTCCCCACTTCCCCACTTCCCCGCTTCCCCACTTCCCCACTTCCCTACTTCCCGGCTTCCCGGCTTCCTCCCTTCCCCGCTTCCCCCCTTCCCCGCTTCCCCGCTTCCCCGCTTCCCCCCTTCCCCGCTTCCTTCCCCGCTTCCCCGCTTCCTTCCCCGCTTCCCCGCTTCCTTCCCCACTTCCCCGCTTCCCCACTTCCTTCCCCGCTTCCCCGCTTCCTTCCCCGCTTCCCCGCTTCCTTCCCCGCTTCCCTGCTTCCTTCCCCGCTTCCCCGCTTCCTTCCCCGCTTCCCCGCTTCCTTCCCCGCTTCCTCGCTTCCTTCCCCGCTTCCCCGCTTCCTTACCCGCTTCCCCGCTTCCTTCCCCGCTTCCCCGCTTTCTCTTCCCCGCTTCCCCGCTTTCTCTTCCCCGCTTCCCCGCTTCCTTCCGCTTCCTCTTCCCCGCTTCCCCGCTTCCTCTTCCCCGCTTCCCCGCTTCCTCTTCCCCGCTTCCCCGCTTCCTCTTCCCCGCTTCCCCGCTTCCTCTTCCCCGCTTCCCCGCTTCCTCTTCCCCGCTTCCCCGCTTTTCCTTCCCCGCTTCCCCGCTTTCCTTCCCCGCTTCCCCGCTTTTCCTTCCCCGCTTCCCCGCTTTTCCTTCCCCGCTTCCCCGCTTTTCCTTCCTCGCTTCCCCGCTTTTCCTTCCCCGCTTCCCCGCTTTTCCTTCCCCGCTTCCCCGCTTTTCCTTCCCCGCTTCCCCGCTTCCTTCCCCGCTTCCCCGCTTCCTTCCCCGCTTCCTTTTCCCCGCTTCCCCGCTTCCTCTTCCCCGCTTCCCCGCTTCCTCTTCCCCGCTTCCCCGCTTCCTCTTCCCCGCTTCCCCGCTTCCTCTTCCCCGCTTCCCCGCTTCCTCTTCCCCGCTTCCCCGCTTCCTCTTCCCCACTTCCCCGCTTCCCCGCTTCCCCACTTCCCCACTTCCCCACTTCCCCACTTCCCCACTTCCCCACTTCCCCACTTCCCCACTTCCCCACTTCCCCACTTCCCCACTTCCCCACTTCCCCACTTCCCCACTTCCCCACTTCCCCACTTCCCCACTTCCCGTTAGGGCACCGGCCTGAGCGGCGATGATGTCGAGCACCTCAAGAGTCGCTTTGGCGACAACTTGCTGGAGGTCGCTTCTCAAAGCGCTTGGTTCTGCTCAAAGCTGCACCTGCCAGGTGCAGCTGCCATCCTTCATGCAGTGCTACAAGGACTTTTCGCATGCTTAATGATCTATGCCAGAAAAAATAGCATTCTGATGTGCATGCACTTGCACGCATATGCTTGAACCGCGAGGAGCAGTTGCTGTCTCCGCTGGTCATGTTCCAGGTGAGCACATTTGAACATGACCTTCATGGACCGACGGCTTGAGAAGCACAGGTCTTCGTGGCCCTTTTGTGGGCAGCTGATGACTTCTTCGAATACACATTGATGCAATTGTTGTCTCGGACTCGGTAAGCAACCCCATGGCCATGTTTCTTGCGGAAATACCCCCCTCCAAAATGGTTGGTGAACGATGATTAGCAGAGTTTCCTTTGGCAAGGTGACGCATGGTGACCCGAAACAAGGTTCATCTTGGGCTTGGAGTCCACCAGTGTCTTCCAGCGCCTGAAGACCATGAAGATGCTGAACAGCATGGGGACCAAGTCCTACGGCGTCATGGCTGGCCCGTCGCGTTTGCATCGAACTCGAAATGGCAAATGGGTCATGTTTCGGCAAGACCTGTGCGCACAGCCTAAAGTGACAGGTGTACAGAGGCAAGCAGTGGGTCGAAAAGAGCACGGACCTTGATATTCCTGCGAGGTACAGTCGCATGCTACGGTCTTTTGTTTCAAAAAGGACAAGTACATTCACGGTATGAATATCGCAAACACTATTCTAGCATTGGGTGACTAGTCGCGGCCGCGCCTCTGCAAGTGTTTTTGGCTTCAAGGCACGGCAGAGCTGGTTCCAGGGGACCTCATCGAGCTGGTGACAGCAGTGGCCTGAGCCGCTCGATCCCCGCGGGCCAGGGCCGGAAGGTGCCGCAGCTGAGGCAAGCAGTGGCCAGGCACCCACCACGCCGGAGGAAAAGGCGCGGTACGCCGGTCCGCGCGTCGAACTGTTCCAATGGCGTGAGAGGTGGCGCCCGACATTGTGCCCTGCGACTGCGTGCTGATCCGCGGGGAGGCAACTGGGGAACTGGGAACACGTGTGCCACCGAAGAGCAGCTCCAAGCATGTTGCCCATCCCAGGCAGTCGCCAGCGAGGCGAGCCTTACTGGGGAGTCTGCGCCGCAGATGAAGGATGCCTTGGCCTTTGAGGACCGACCTCAGCTTGAATCCTTGTTTGCACGTGCACAGATGTTTTGTGAGGACAGATGCCTAGAGCTCCACGGGAGTGACCGTGTACACTGCCTTTTCTCAGGCCATCCTCTCACCGAAAAAAGCATGCTGTCATACGCGCCCTGAGGCACACGAATAGTTCGTGCACTGGAAGGGAGCAAAGAGGCAGGGTCAGCTGCACGGCGCCCTGCGCCCACTTTGCCACCCACGATTGAGCTAGCACAAACAGAACCTTGCCATCCAGGTGGAGAACGCAGGCGCCACCATCTTGCTTGTGCAATGGTGTGATAAAACCTGACGTGTTTGCAGGGCAAGAACATTTCGCGGTGTCGCAGGCGGGCGCGCTTAGGGGCCGTCCTTGTCGTCGGAGAAGTGGCTGTCCGGCGGAAGACTGTTCAAATTGAAGTCGTCAGCAGGACAGTTTAGGGGAGCTGAAGATCTCGTGGCCTAGTCCGGGAAAAGTGGCTAAAAGTGGCTCTCAGTGACAGGTGCCATCAACACCGAACCAGGGCTGCCTGGCCTACGTTGCCCTTTGCTCGGCATGTCGGCAGTGGTCTCGTCTCTGGGGCGATTGCCTGCAGGTCCGCACCGGCTTTGCCTCGTCCCAGGGACAACTCTTGCAGATGATCGAGTTTTCCCAGGACAAGGTGTGGAATGTGTCGAGTGCTGCGAGCTCGGCCTTCTGCATCTGAGGTCTCTGGGGACACGAGGGAGGTGCCCTGTCCGTATTTGAGACCTGAGTGAATCGCTTTCCGATGGCTGACAGGTCATTGTAGCGCTGCTGATCCTTCTTGCTTGCGCTCTGGTGGCAGCAGGCAATCTGTGTTCTTGATTGCATCTGCAACACACACACACACAACGTAAATGCAGCTATGGGCCTCTGAATGGAGACAAGTGCCAGGCTATGTGCTCAAAGTCGGCTTGGAAAAAGGGGACAAAACGCCTCATGAGTTGCTGATAAAGTGCGGAGCCCCAGTCCAGGTTAGACCGTGCACATTCTTTGGCCTGGGCTGCAGGTGTGTGCTAATCCTCACCGCTGTGGTGCCAAAGCAGCTTCCAATCCAGACAGCCATGGCGATCAACACAGCCTTCTGACTGCAGACTTCGTTCATTGCCCGATGCTTGGTGAGCACTGAACACTGGTTAGCGTACGCAAAGGCCCTGGTGGCCCTCTCGCGAGCGGGAGTGTTTTGCACAGAGCCCTACCGTATTCCACTTGCTGGCAAGGCCCGCGTTTGATTCCTCGAGTGCGTGCATTGACTGCCAAGCGATTCATTCCATGTCTCCTGAAAGCTGTATTCCAGCTCACTCACTGCCTGTTCGACAAGACGGGCACGCTTACTACGGACACACTGGTGCCTGTGGGTCAGGATCTCGGTCAGAGGCATGCCCACCGATAGAGCCGGACACATTGCTCAGGTGTCGTCAATGGCACTAGCACACCTGGCTCCGACGGACATGTGACCAAAGTGTGGTGCTTGAATGGCGAACTGCACAAATGCGAAAAGAAGTGCCCGACACTGATGTTGCAAGTCCGGCAAAGACTGCCTGAGGTGAAGGTGTGTGAAGCAGAAACCACAGCCGCTCTGGTGCTGGCAGCTTGCCACTCCTTGGTCGCAGCCTCGCGAGGATTGAATGCGCAATTGGGGGGGGCTGTCCAAATATCGGGGACGCTTTTGTGGTTCAGGTCCAAGTTGATGGCAATCTCTCGGGAGACCCAATCGAGGCTGCTTGAGTTGGTGACAGATGGCGCGTGATGACGCCTCATGGTGAGTCCCGGATGCACCAACAGGTGGCCGCTCTTGAGGGTATTGGGTGGTCCTACGACTCCCAGGTGCAAAGAACATGACTCCATGAAGAGCTATAAACATGTGCATGCTCGTTGGCAATGACATGCAATGGCCATGGCGAAACGGGGAGGGAGACGGATTGAAGCGGAGCTGTACGTCTATTCGCATGTGCCAGCGAGATTAATGGATGCTGCAGTTGGTTGATTTTCCGGATATGACTCAGTTGCCTTCAGGCGGAGACAGCATCGCCACATTCACAAAAGGAGGAGAGATCGTCTGGGCTGTTGTTGGCTTTCGGGCAAGCCTGTTGCATTCTCTGTGGCCAGGATGCCAGCCAGCAAGGTGCTGGGCTCATTGTCCTTTTTCACAAAACAAATTCCCTGACAGGCATCACATCAGTCCACATCCTGCAGCAGCTTGCCTGATCATAGCCGGAACTTGGGCGTGCCACTCTGGTTGGTTTAAAGGAGCTCCAGAAGGGAAACTCCCCCTCTTCCCCCATTTTGGGTGTCCTCTTTTTCAGAATGCTCTTGGCTCAGCTTGAGGCGCTTCCACTTTGCCTCGCACCTGCAACGAATGGCCGTGATCGTGCAGGCCACCTCGGTGATTGAGCAAAGGTTCTCGAACCGGTCACGTTCTGGAGGTCTCAGCTAAAGCTGGCTGTGCGCTGCAAGAAGGCGCTCGCTGCAAACTGGCTCACCTCCATACGGCTGTGGGTCAAAAATAGGGTAACCCCAAAATGGAACCCCTGGTAAGTAGCAACACGGAGCCAAAACCTGTGGTCCCCTGGTGGTTTAATTTTGACCCACACCCATACCAATGGCACACAGGCTCAGGATGCTACGTGCTGGTAAAAGGGTCACCGGAGGCCCGGTGTGCACCCAAGCCGCTTCGCGACAACAAAGCTGTGCCAGGCAGTAAAGAAGCTCCTCAAAGAAAATGCAGCTCCTGAGCCGGGTTGCACAGCTTGTTAGAGAGATTCATGTGATTGCAATTCAGTGTTGTCTACCTCAGCACCTGTCTACAATGTGTCACTTTGCTGTCTCTTAGCAGTGAGCTTCTCCTGCCATACACAAACACGCAGTCCATCACACTCCATCGTGCCACATCATCACCATGCTATCATGCAGCATCGCTCGCAAGCACCGATATCAGCACCATGACTAGCAAGTCCACGTCGTCCATCGCACACATACAAACACATACAAACACATACAAACACATACGAACACATATTACCCCGGCACGAGACCCCAAACACTGATAGGCGGCGGTCACACGCTGCAGAGTATTGTGCGGGCAGCGCCGCAAAACGGCGGTTGTTGTCAGGAAGCTGCAACATCATTTTGCGGTATTTGCGCGCACACTCACAAAGACGAGGACACGTGTGTGGGAGTAGAGACACATGCAGCACCAAGAAGAAAAAAGGCGCACAGGCATGGCCAGCAGGCATGCTCGTTTTTTCTTCCATGAGCAGCACATATCGGTGAGACGGCAGAATCGCAGGACAGGGCTGCTGGGATAGATGCGTGGCACTGCGCGCAGCCGCAGCAGGCCAGTCTGTTGGTAGATGCAAAGGCGCTGCGGTCAAGGCGTGGTAGCTTGTTGCTGCAAACAGCCGACGCGGCGCACGCAGAGTGCTAGTGGCAAGCTCTCGCAGCACAGAAGCGTTATCAAGGCAGGCCCAAAGGCTGGGCTGTCTGGCTCGGACCGTTCCACAGCAGGCGTGTACATAAAGCGCGCGCTCCCAGATCGCAGGGCGCACAAGAAGGCGTCCAACTCATTTGGCGCCATGTTATCGAGGCAGTTCATGCGGTGCAGCGCTGCGAGGGGCGGCAGGCCGCGAAGGCGCGGATGTTGGTCGATCCACTGTTGCATGGTAGCTTCGTCTGCACAGCGGAAAGAGTTGTCAAAGAAAGTCGGCAGGCGGATTTGTGCATGGATCCACTCGGGCGCATTCCAAGACACACGCACGTCAATGACATCGTGCGCCAAGAACCCTGGCAGCCACAGCCGTGTTGCCAGGATAAAATTTGCGTAAGCTTCTACTTCTTGGCGTACGGCACGGGCGCGCTGCATCCAGACGCGGCAACGTGCAGCACAGCAGGTCGTCATGAGCCGAAAGAACAAACAGACATCGCCTAGACACGCGGCCTGAGCGCAAAGCACGGGGCACATAGCAGCAGGCGGTCGAATACGTGCGCTTTCTGCTGGGGCGAGCTGTCCTGTGGCGAACAACTTGGGTGCTTCCGGCGGGCTTGTCCAAAGCCCGGCAGATTGGCGGCGCCGCGTGTCTCCAAGCGGCCAGCAGGCATGGCGCGTTGCGTCATCTTCACGCGCAGCCGCAGTGTTGTTCGAGACGTTCTCAGCGTCAACGATACTCGGATGCGTCAGGCAGCGTCGAGGCATGAGTACGGAGAGTGTCGGCGGCAAAAGGACGGAGCTGAGCCAAAGCGACACGACTTCCACGCGCCGGAGCGTTGTTGCATGCAGCATGGAGGCAAGACAAGGCATGTGAGGAAGGAACACACGGCTTCGTGCGTAACTAGTGTGTGGATGAGTAAATTACAGAGTAGGGGGCAAAGGAACGCGACTGCATTTTTCCGCGAGCAAAGCATGGCAGCTGAAGTGGGGCTGTGTCGAAAAGAACCAGCTTGTGCTTGCTTCTGGCTAACTACTTTTCTTATTGTGTTCCACCACAACAAAGCGCATCCGCTGCATCACCGATTGGTTATGCGCAAGGTTGGACATTGGCTGTCCCTGCGCAACCGCCAGCGGCGCACGTGCAAGCTTGTGCCGGAACGCGCAGGGATACGCGCAGGGACACGCGCGTACAGGCACACATGCAGACACAGAGAGGAATTGGCGCGACGCAGTTGTGAAAGTATGTTTGAACCGCAGCTCTAGGCAAAGTACCGCGTTGCCATCGAAGCAAAGCTAGTGCACGTGTGCGGACAACCGGGTAGTGCAACAACCCACCACCACGCAAGATCTCTGAGCCCTTTGGCGCTATCGAGTTATACAGTGCAACAGCAAGGAACATGACACGTTGAGTGCATACACGAGGAATGGAAAAGCAGTAAGACAAGGAATATGAGGAAGGAACACATGGAGTCGTGCGTGAATAGTGTGTGGAGCAGCAAATACGACGTACGGGGGGCGCAAGAACGCGACTGTTTTTATCCGCGAGCAAAGCACGGCAGCTGAAGTGGGTCTGCGTCGACAAAGCCAGCTGCTCCTTGCGTCTGGCTAACTCCTGCGCGCTTGCGTTCCGTCCGTCAGCGATCCGTAGAGACACTTCCAGCGCCCGCCTGCGCAGCCGCAAGGGTTCCAAGATTCGCTCAGTCGCTGCAGGCGTGTACGCCCGGTGCTGTAGGTGCATTCGCCCACGGCTCTCCACGGGGGTATGCACTCAGAGCTGGGCAAAGGGCTTGTTGCAAGGCGGGCGCTGTCGACTCTGTCCAGGGAGCACGCGTGCCAGGCGGAGGTCCGCGCGTCGCAGTCACGCTAGACATCAGGAGCAGTTGGCGCATGCACTTCGTGGCCACGTCAACGTCTGCTTCACGCAGCAGCTGCAGCTGTTCCACAATGAGCTCGGCTTGCCCTTCCGTCGCAGACTTGGAGCACGCTATGGCCAAGGCATACTGCAACTTTTTGCCCGTCCGAGGTGGGTCCAAGACGAAATCCTTCAAGTTATGAACAGTGCAGTAAGCTATGGCTGTGAATTTTTCGGCCGCGGCAGCGTCTGCCTCTGCTAAACCATCGATGATGTCTTTTGTGACCAAACGGAGCACGCTGGCAGCTTCTTGTTGTTCGGTGCGCTTGGAGGACACCAAAAGGACCAGGGCTTTGTTGCAACTCAGACGACGGCGTTTTCCTTCCCTCTCAAGGGAACCGGCCTGGTGTGCGTCCACATCCACTGGCTCCACGTGAAATGATGTTTGAAGTAAGCCGGGAAGGCGTGCATCCACAACCTTTGGCTCCACTTGAAAAACTCCAAAACTGTTTGTCATCAACTCTGACAGCCTCGCGGTGACCAAAGCATCTGTGCTTGGTGGAATCTGCGTCAACGCCTGCAAGAGAGACAAAAGAGGCTGCGTGGCCTCTTGCTTCAAGTCTTGTTCTTCTGCTTCCACCACAACAAAGCGCATCCGCTTCATTCCGGACTGGCTTGACTGGGAGCCAAGTCGAAGGCCGGGCGTCGGCGGAAGCTTCTCGGCGATGCGTGCTACCCTGGCAGCTGTGGAGACTGGCCGCGTGTGGGGGCCAGCACTATGAGCCTCCTGCGTACTGCAGACCGCTGGCATCTTGTGAAGACTGGGAGCCAAGTCGAAGGCTGGGCGCCCGCAGGAATCAGTTCTTCGTCTCGTTAATCCCGCCCACCCAGGAAGGAACGGTCGCGAGTACGACCTCTTCCAGGCAGTTGGCCGACATCTGCATCACGCACCGTGGCCAAGATCTTTACACTAGCCAGCAATGGCCAAGACAAAGTGTCATTGGGAACCGAACTCCTGGGCTGCTTCCTTTCCGGATGGGTCGAGGCCAGCGAGGTGACACGCTGCTTTCTGACGAATCCCCACGTCCAAGCAGCCAGAGAAGTCGCGGATACGAGCGGTCCAGTAAATGCGGTCTTCGTAAAGGTGTTCTGGCGGTGGAAATGGAATGTGAACATTGTTCAACTGAAAGACGCGACCGTGCAAATACTCTGTCTCTTGCTGCGCTTGCGCGTGGCAGTCCAACAGCGCACAGGCAGATAGCTGCCCGAGCACGGACGCGTAGTCTTTGGCAGCGTTATGAGGTTGCCACTCTTGCGTCAGCAAGGTTGCCGTGGCGTCCCAGAGCGCGGTCTCTTGATTGGCCAGCGCAGCCGCATGGATTCCAGTGGCAGTCTCATAGCGAAAGCCTTGCAGAGCCGGCGTGATTTTCGCTTCGCCACCGTTGACATTAGCCTCCAAGGCAAAAAAAGTCAAAGGACCTCCATTTTGCAACTTGTTTCGCAAAACTTCCAACTCGGAAGCGGAGACACAGAAGAGGGTGGCGGCCACTTCTGCAAACTTGCCTGTCTCGACCTGCGAAGCATCTCGCAAGAAAATTCCGTACTCTTCCATGGAGTTCCCTCCCCATCTCGCCAGGCACGGCGTAGTCCAGAAGAGCCTGAAATGAAACCGCCAGCAGCACGGCGAGAAGCTTGTCCTTCGCCAGCGCCCGAAGCTCTTCCTGCTGCAAACTTCTCCCTCCTTGTTTCCGGCTAATCCCTGCGTTCTTGCACGCCGTCCATAAGCCCTGTCGATCCGAAGATAAACCTTCCAACAAAGCACCCGCCTGCGCAGCCGCAAGGTCTCCCAAGACACATGACCCGAGATGCTCGAATTCCGCGCGCACATCGGCAGGCGCGGCTTCCAGCAGCGTCGCCAAGATTATTGCGCCCATGGCTGCGCAAGCATCACTACAACAGGCAAGATCTGTGTGTTTGTTTCAACAGGGTGCCTGAGTTAGTGAGTTAGCTAGCTAGGTAGCTTCTTCCTTGGTTCTCGTTGTTTTGTCTCTGTATTTCATTCTTTCTATGAATGTGGCGCTGTTGCTGTTGCTGTTTGGTTGTTGTTACCATCGAGAAGCCGTCGCAGCACAGAAGCACCATCCAAGCATGCCCAAAGAAAGGGAAACAAGCTCGCGCGGACAGGGCGGGAATCGAGCCGGGACCTTTCGCCGGAAACCCGTGCCGCCGGACCACGAGACAAAACCCCCACGGTCCCTGGAGCCGCCAAAAAAAGCAATCGAAACGCACTTCAACATCCAGCAAAAGCAAGAATCTGCGGTAAATACCACGCGAAACGCTCGCGGACAGAAGTCGACAGCTCACTTTCTGCGAGCTTGCGCAGTCGAAACACATTTCAACATCAAGCAAAAGCACGAATCTGCGGTACATACCACGCGAAACGCTCGCGGACAGAA